CGTAAGCAGCACTGTATTACGTTTCGATTTAAGTATAAGTAACATTCATAAATATTTCAGTCAAAATATTAGTCAAGAAGCACACACATTAATAGTAAAAATTCTGATAAATCCAACCAAACTGATCGAAATGTAAATCCAATCTAATCTCTTAAGCTGTCAGCTAATGTTCAAAATATCGGTCTGATATTGGGTTAATATCAGAGTGATCTAGAATTGCCATATTATTAGCTTTAGGTGACCTCAATACTGCATTATTCAGCCCACCTTCATTCAAACAAGTTTTTTGCGGCTTTTTAAACCTAGAAAATCTCATCAAAATCATGTTAGAAACAAATACTTTAAAGCTTTTCATTCTGCAGAAGTAAACGATAGGATTAGTGGTTGAGTTAAGAACAACACAGACGGTGTACGTCAATACCCAGCCGTACCAATAAAGCATGACCGAATCGTAGGCATTCTTGTACTCGTAACTACTGTCCTTTGTGTTCCGAACCACGTACTGCAAGTGGTGGGAGAACTTTACGAAGACGGGAATGTTGTAGAATATGTAGACTAGGGTTACCACTATTATCGTCTTTGTCGCTTCCGCTTGCTTCCTCATTGATCCCTTCCTTTTGCTGTTGAGTTGTGTAGAGGGAACCTGGTTGAGTTTGTAGATCATAGCCAGGCAGGTTATGATGATGGGTAGGATGGGTGCTGCCAGGAGGGCTATGCTGGACACTATACTGATGGTCCAGAAGATTTTGTCGTTGCTTGGCAGGAAGAAGCAGTACATGGTGTTCTTGAGGTATATAGCGGTGGAGAGGCCCAGGATAAGAGGCAGAGTCTTGCTGAGGACCAGACCAGCCAGATAGGTTGACAGACAACCCAACAAGATGGTGTTGTCCAGGATACAATGTGGTCGAAACAGGGTAACCACCCTGGAAATGCTCAGGACTCCCACCAGAAAGACAGAGTAGAATGGTATTATCTCCCAAAGCAACCCCCAGATTGTGCAGAAACCTTCGTTTTCAAACATCTTAGAATTCCTTCCGTTCAAGAAAGCCTCTGCCACTGGTACGATCGTTGCACAGATGACCAAGTCAGTCAATGCAATCGCCACATACAGGTACCCGAAGAAGTCCTTCCTTGTGCCGCGCAATTTTCCGCCAATTTTTTTCTTTAGGAAGTAAAGAAGTGAGAAGAGGTTGGCTGGGACTCCGACCACCACGCAGGCTACACAAACCAGCCCCAAAAATGTGTCTACCTCTGGAACAAAGGTTTGCCCATAGGGAGTCTCTGTATACGATACGTTTTGTGTGATTATCCGCTGTGTCGACATAATCCTGTGATAAAATAGTATTAATTTTAATATAGCCTTTTTTTTAATCAATCATAAAAATTTAGTATCGGTGAGATAATGCTTCCTTGCACTCGAAAGTAAAACTAAAAAGTTTGTCGAAGACGTGCTTTCGTCTATTAAGTTAGACGGGTAACAAGTACCTGTACACGAAGCTTGCAAATTATGGCAAATTAATACTTAAAGTTGTGAACTATGCAATCATAGTTTTAAACTAATTACAACAATACAAATCTATTACATTTATTGAGTATTACGTAACGCGATGGAAATATTTTAAGCGGGTAATATCCTGTCCAAACCCAGGATACATAACATGATTTGTTGTAACTTTGTATGAAAAGCATTAATACAAAAAAGTTAATATTGAGCTGTAGAATATTAGAAAATGGTAACACGACTCCCGTCCGACAACCATCTATGGGCAGTATTCTTTGATATTAAGTTTAATGAGATTATTATTTACTATTTGATTCCACTACGTGGGTGCATTGGTGCAACTGGTAAATTTTTAGCCGATCATGAATTTTACTGACTAGTAACCATATTTTTCTTATAGAATTATGTGCTGCAAATAAATTGTCCAGTACAAATAATAATAACATATTACACCAGTATCTATTAAACAACAAATTAAAGGAAGTGAGAAGTACTGTACTAATATAACTAGCGCTACACTCGTCGCAAGACTTTAATAAAACGTGCTAATGAATCAACTATTTGCTGTGAACGATCTATGAGAATCTGCATACGTCAAATGGCTTATTGCCAACAGATTTAATATATGAAATTAATATTTATAATATAATTATTAATTTCACATTAAATCTGGGTTTTACTGTACAAGGGTAATTTGCCTAGAATGAAACTAAAGACTTGATCTTGATGGTGAATCCGAATCCAACTTTCGTGCGCGTGGTAATCGAGATTTACAAAGTGGAATTTAACGATAAAAGCTGCGGGGTACTGTGCAAATATAATAAAACTAGCGCGTAGCGTTACACTCGTCGCAAGACTTTAATAAAACTTTATTACTCCCCTAATTGCCCCTTACTTGAGTGCTTGTGAACCATAACCCCTAAGTGGGAATCAGTAGCGTGTGAAGAGAAACCATGTCATCTGAAGGGGACTTAATTGTCAAAACCCCAATTTACCGTACATCCTGATTTACCGTACTATTATTCTTTCCCCAACTGTACGGTAAATCGTAGTTTTACTTTAGCAAAGTGTAGTTGAGTATGCTCTTTGGTGCACACTATTTCTGGCAACAGAGGGTCCTTCGTAAGGTCATTCTGCACCAAAATAATCTAGGTATAATCTAGGTACAAAATTTATCTCAGTAGTTCTAAATCCTACAGGTTACTGAAGGTCGTAAAGAATTTTATCTCAAAATAACCGCAAAAGCATTATTAATGCGCTCTGTTAGTCATGAAATTCTATTTTGTGATCTACAGATCATATAGACTTAGAGTCATATAGAGTTACTAATTATATTAGTCGATTAGCATTATTATTACTAAGTAAGACAAAACTTCAATGGATGGTTACCGTAATGGGTGCCACACGCCTAGCATGAAATATTTACCTACTTACTTGCACTTGTGTAGGTCTGTAGAAGCATTAGTATTATCGGGCGTTGCCTGGCTATCCCGAAACTAGAAGCTTGCTTTAATAATTACTAAAGTAAGTATTAGTATTTCTGTGTTTCAACGATACTATTGATTGAATTCCCATAAATAAAATAAGTTTAATATAACATAGTAATCAATGCATAAAATTTAAAGATCGATACATAACATTTGAGATCGAAAACAAGCGTGTTGGTCAGATAGCATATATGGCTTGTAAAATTATAAAGCTAAATCATTATTTCGTGTAGTAATGAAATTTTTTCTTGGGAATACGTTGAAGACTGTCACCCTCCCTGAGGGGGGCCTTGATATGCACAAGGTCAGATAAAGTTATGTGGACCTGGGGCAACTCTACTACTAGAGTATATTCTGGAGAATAGAAGCTTCATTTATTTAGAATAATCTCTCACTGTAGATGCAAGTATGAAAACTGTGGTACATACAGGGTTTGGTGCACCAAGTTATCCCGAATATACCCATTTAACCCATTCTGTGATGGTACAGAGCAACTATGGGCTGCAAATGATATTGGTTTGGACCATTTTATTATTATTACCACTGCTTACTACATAGCGTTAGTTGCGCGTTACCTGGTGAACTCAGTCAATATTCTTACTGTGGTGATTAATCAAATGATATTTGGGACTGAGAATTTCCATATATGATATAGACTAACCATATAAACTGACCCTAGTCAAGTGGTATTTAAAATGCAGAAGTAGATTAATTATACAAAAATGGGAGCTTTAGTTACTCAGATAAGAACAGGTTTTTCTTAGGCTATCAGATTCAACAGGCGATCGCTTGATAAAATATGGGACTGTGAAAAAATAAAACCCAGTTAAAAACAAGAGGTCCACAACACAACGACAGGGTGCATGATAAAATACACACAAATAATGAATATGGTTCAAAAATTCGTCAGAAATTTATATATCATAATAATTTATCAGTGTTAGAATTAGAGTTGAACAAATTCTTACCATCCATTACTGCCATCTCGGTACGATATGGTTCACAACGAGAGAATAAGTGGCTTGGTCCTTTGTCCAGGCTTATAATGCAGTATATGCGATATTCGCACGACCTCGCAGTGCGATTCAGTAAATAAAAACATCGAACAATATTTCAATAATAAAATGAACGAGTTTGACAAGTTAGTGTGAATATTGCAACAATCAATCGAGCAATTTTGATTATTGATCTAATCGCACTACTATACAAGGAAGTGGCATTATTGTATTTTAAATCAGACTAGAAACCCAAGAGAGCTATAAGTTAAAATAACGGCACTGCCATTAGCTGTATTTTAATATTAAATAATATTAAATAACTTACTGGTTTTATAAAAGTCCTCTTTCTTAGAATTACATTTTATTAGAATTTATAATGTCAAATACTGAAATTTAAAACTTCATCTATGTGATGAATTTTAATCCAAATTTCGTGGAAAATATTATTTCGAATTAGAATTTGATGATAGAAGCTTTAAGGCGGATACCCTATATTTATGATACCAGTTTAGTAAACAATACGTCAGTTTAATACGTTTTAACAAGGGTTACCAATTTAGAGACATTGATAAGTTTAATTTCCTCCTGTAAAAGTGGATCTAGTAACTTGCTGGTAACTATAACAAACACCACAAGTATAAACACTTGTCTCAGAGGAATTATTTAGCTTAAAGCTGTTATTTAGTAAAACTACCACGCGTCTGGTAACTTGCTGGTAGCTATAACAAACACAACAAGTATAAACACTTGTCTCAGAGGAATTATCTAGCTTAAAGCTGTTATTTAGTAAAACTACCACGCGTGATAAGTAACGCGTGACAGGTGCGGTCTTGGTTCAATCAGACATCATATTATATGGCGCATTACTTGACGTTTTATTTATGACAGACATGTTATCTTGGCATTCTCGCGACGATAGTTGACAGTTTTGTTCGATAACTCAACCTTATACCGTTTTTTACTTATGACATTGATTATATTGCCTGACATGATTTACTAATATAATGTGCTCAGGTCAAGAGAACCACTGGGAATAGGAGGACTGGGAGGCACTGAAGGTCGCCCTTTTACGGAGAATGTTAAAAGGCAGGCTCCGCCCAGATCAGCACGACGACGAATCCCAGCGACGGTAAGATACTTCTCTTTAACTGTCCTAAGGCGTGTCCCAAGCTTTAATTTCAGCGAATCAAATGAGATTAGTTTGCTTTGTACACCTTATAGTAAGTCATTTATTTGAGCATAAAGTTGCTTTGTGACAATTCGTTATCACTTAACTTGCACAGTCGACATAAATCAACATAATATCAATCATGCAGGTTGGATACCTTTGCTCAAGCACCATGAGAAAGTAGAAACTGCAATAATATTAAGCACTAATAATATTAAGCACTAATGCGCTGTCATATTAAGAGTAAGACATATTTAAATATCTGCAATGCAGATTCTGCATAAGTTGCGTTGAATTCTACAGTTATATATATTAGTTTATTTAAAGCCTAAATATTAAGTGAAATGTTTACAAATCAAAGATAATGACATAATATACTCAAGTGGGTACAGTGTGTCGGCGAACCAATCAGCATTTTTTGTCTAAATTAAAAAAGAGATGTTTTCAAAACCAGCTACACGGCAATATGTTCAATTAAATATTTTGGGACCGAATTTATAGTTGAGCAACCTTGGTATTAGAACCCCTTAACATCTGAAATTTCAACTTAGTTATCAACAATTAAATTATAAAATTGTAGCTGACAATAACTTCGTGGACACGTATACAGTATCTGTAGTATATTTGAAAAGTCACCGCTTAGACAAACGGAGAGGAGAAATCCAAAGTATTTTGAAATTAAGTTCAACAGATTACGCATCACCGATTATAGCATCTCTAACGTAGGACCACGATTATATAATTTAATATAACAACACGATAATCGAAATAAATAAAATCCTTCCCTTCAGCGTACCTAAGTTACAAGATAAGTTTATTAATTCATACAAGGACAACATTGTACGTTACTTACTGGACAAACAAAAACTTGACCTAACTTTTCGTGGACGGACAAGAACTTTGTCCTTTACAACTTTTAAACAAAATATTAGCAAAATATAACAGCCGTAAGAATCCTAAACGTTAGTGCAGTCAAATAAATGAACTGCGATAATGCATTTGACAGTCAGTCACTGCAATTTATTCTGCAACTTATATTTAAACTTTCACTGCCACACTTAGGCTTATCTTGCCTACATATTTTTTAAAGAAATTCCTTGCGCACCGCGTATTAAAATTACTTGGATTTCTACCGCTTTGATAAAATGACTACAAGAAGATGGGGAGATAATATTGTTGATTTATATAATATAGATTATTTATTCTTCAGTGTAGATTAACTTTATTTTTATATATTTTACTAAGTGTGAAGGATCAACCATACGTTATTGATATTGTTGAAATATTTAATGATAAATTGATATAATAATAAATGATTGTAATATTTTTATTGAGGCACATGCCACCCCATCGCGGGTTTACTACTACATAACAGAGAGTGATGGCATATCTATCTTAAGCTGAGGTTAGTCATAAAATGTCCTAAAGAGGAAATCACTGAAAGTGAATAAATGCTCAATATAAGGATTTATCAGAAAGCGACTTTGCCAAGCGAAATAGCTAATAATTTCATTTCAATAAAAAAATTTACATTCAAACTATTTGACGTTTAATTGTCTTCCTCCAACTGATACATCTTCAAAGGTTTTGTTTTTGAGATTTTTGGACGACCCCCAGCACTCAGAATACAGCTCTTGGATTTTAGCACAGAATATCTCGGCCATAAAAGCTTGAAACATTCTTTAAAATTGCGATAATTTCGATTTCTATTGCTCCTTGGGCCCATGAATAAGCAGCCTAATTGTCATCGACATGAAAAGTAATAAAGGGTAATATACAATCAAATGCGACCAGAGAAATACTCTTGTAAGCAAAGACTCCGGATCCTACTCCTAACACTCATAAAAAGAGAGTGGGTGCCACTACAACAAAAAGGCTCCAAAATGAACTCAGATTATAATTACCTTCCTCCAAGAACCCTGGTAAATTGGTGTTTTACTTTGTATACTATAGATCGATTCTATCGTGTAAACCAGCAATTATTATTATTATAAAACAGGATCTTACCGACAAAAAAATCCTTGAAACAGATTTTCCCAACATCTGTTGCATGAAGCTATATCTTTGATTTCGTTTAATTCATGCAAGTTATCTATGTGAAAATTTTACTAATTAAATCACTTCTTAAAACAGATAACAAGTTCATTTTAGGTCTCCCCAATCTTCCAATAAATAAAACCAGCAAACTACTTAAAAGTAGAGTGTTATATTAGAGTGCAGACGTCCGTAGGATTTAAAAAGCCACTGCTGCGATGTTATCTTCTTCTAACCCAAAGTAAAAATATGTAGAGACATTCATTTTCCATCCTGGAGTACAGAGAGGAGACGTATTTTTGGTAATGAATGTTGCTTTGACGAGAATCAGGAACGAGTAGTCCTTGGACATGACTGGGACATGACTGGGACATGACTGGGACATGACTGGCACATGACTGGCACATGACTGGGACATGGCTGGGACATGACTGGCACATGACTGGGACATGACTGGGACATGACTGGGACATGACTGGCACATGACTGTGACATGACTGGCACATGACTGGCACATGACTGGGACATGGCTGGGACATGACTGGCACATGACTGGGACATGGCTGGGACATGACTGGCACATGACTGGGACATGACTGGGACATGACTGGCACATGACTGGGACATGACTGGGACATGACTGGGACATGACTGGGACATGACTGGAACATGACTGGGACATGACTGGGACATGACTGGGACATGACTGGGACATGACTGGCACATGACTGGCACATGACTGGGACATGACTGGCACATGACTGGCACAAGACTGGCACATGACTGGGACACGGCTGGGACATGACTGGGACATGGCTGGGACATGGCTGGGACATGACTGGACGACCTATGTCATAACCTAGGTTTTAAAAAGTGCTTCCAAAGGACAAGGCCTCGTATTTTGATCGATACCCACCCAAAGAGTACAAGTCTTCAACAAAAACGCACTCCTCCAACTCATCCCAGAACGTCCCGACATAAAACTAGTTATGTGGTGACTTGGTTCAATAAGTCTGGGAATCCCCAATTTAATATAGAAAGGTCATTTAGCGAGACACCAGCTAACCTTTAAAGGTTAAAGGCCTTTAAGATAGTTAACAGGTGTCAACTTGAAGACATGTCCTATTAGTATTATTAATTGCAGACATGTCTTCAACCTTCAACAACTTCATTAACGTCCACCAAAAATGTGTAATCAAAAAATTAAAATTTGTTTGAATTATCGCTGAATGTCAATCGCAACTGACTGGATATTTTCTGCGTATCATTCCCTTAATTGATGAACAAATTTTGGTAGCTAAAAGCTAATTTAAAAAACATAGTATAGCAACAAACCAGTATATAATACGGTTGATCAAGAAAACAAGACAGTCTCACTCATGCGACCGTTTATATACCTATGAGCGACAGCCCTCTACCCATTGGAGGAGAGCTGGCACGTGACCACAAAAACCCGTTAAGTACCTCCGTTATTATTAGTCAATATGAAGCATCAGGGGTGTAGGAATGGGGGGGGGGGCCGGGGGGGGGGGGGGGCCGGGGGTGTATGTATAAAGCATACACTTTATAAGACGAAATTCAATAGCCATAGATAAAATATATAGTGATTAGTGAACAGCATGCTACTAGAGTGTCATTCTAAAGCCGCAAAAATATGGACTGTTAAGTTCGAGCTTTTTGCGTATTTCTAATTTTATTTCGCATATACAATATACATAATTAATAATTAACCATGGTATAGATAAGTAGATACAGGTGAAACAATGATCAGTATAAATTATTTGAATTAGAAATCCACCAAATTTCGGTTTGTTTTATGTTAATAGGCTGATATTGCAGTTTGTTTTGATTTGAGTTCAGCTAAATCTTCAGAACCTCTTCCGAACTTAGTAGGAATATCGCCTTTCCAGCATCCAGGATTTCACTATGGAATGTATCGCCATGAATCAGCGAGAACACGCTGGTGAACAATTGTCCCGCTGATCCTCAATCTAATGGTCCTTGTGACACATGAAATCAGACGTTATCTTACTATATATAAAGCCAGACGTTATAGATAATAACTCTCCAAGCTTGTTATAGATAATAACTCTCCAAGCTTGTTATAGATAATAACTCTCCAAGCTTGTGAATTAACATAATAAGGCGATTATGACTATGTCCGATGAGAGTTAGCAAAAAACAGCTGCAACGCAGTTTGGTACTGTTATGCAGCGGACGCATATTAAACTTGCCTCGCACCAGTAGCTGATGAGATTGACTGTTCGATTTGCAGTCTTACAGGTGCTTACTGCTTATATTTCCTTAATAATATTGAAAACTGTCGTCCGTTTGTTATTTCCAAACCACTTAATCAAGGAAACAGTGAGGTTATGGGATTGTTTTTTCTGGTATAGTGCCACCTCTTTTTGTCTTTTTGTTTTCACACTACCCCTTTTTTCCAAATGAGACAAAAACTGAGGTGGCCACGCTAGAATGCACTGTTATTAGCAGCCTACAAATTACAAAAGTTACCGGACTTTCATCAATACGCCGTCCTTTCGTGGGAGAAGGGGCAATCAATCGAGTGTTATCTGCTACTAGATATTAGATTGCACCTTTATAATTACTGCTCCATTCTGTAGAAGGCGATTTACGCATGACAAATTAAAGGAGATTTCTGAGGGCTCGTGATTGGTTGTGATGATTTCTGAGGGCTTGTGATTGGTTGTGATGATTTCTGAGGGCTCATGATTGGTTGTGATGATTTCTGAGGGCTCATGATTGGTTGTGATGATTTCTGAGGGCTCGTGATTGGTTGTGATGATTTATGAGGGCTCGTGATTGGTTGTGATGATTTCTGAGGGCTCGTAATTGGTTGTGATGATTTATGAGGGCTCGTGATTGGTTGTGATGATTTCTGAGGGCTCGTGATTGGTTGTGATGATTTCTGAGGGCTCGTGATTGGTTGTGATGATTTCTGAGGGCTCGTGGTTGGTTCTGATGATTTCTGATGGTTTTGAGGGGTAGATCTTGACCCAAAAACGAAATTTGGATGGAAAGAGTCCACAATTTCAAAAATGGTCTTTAAGCACATTGGTCAGAAAACGGCAGATACTGCTAGTGCATTGATATGGGACATCAAAGCATTGTAATTTCATTTCGAGTCAGCGCCATCAGTGGTCACTATGCATTAATTTCTATAATTCGCTCCTTGCATATATAATATATATTCTAGAATTCTAAAAAATTAATGAAAAGTATGTTGTCAGTTGTTCGGTTGACCACGTTGCCGGCGACCATGTTGCGGTTGAGTTCGTCCAAGTGCACCCCCAATATGATATCATATTAAAAAACACCACCATATCTTTTAGCTATGGCTATTAAATTTACGTTTCGTGTTGATTAGTTTTTATATCATAAATATTATAATCATACTGTTATGCGATGCTGGACTAACTTCCGGGTGACAAAGTTTCTAAAATTCTAATTTACTAATCAAGAAATTCGAACAGATTCTTATGTAAGTGCACCTTCCCCCAGCGTTACTCATCCAAGGAATTTATCAAATTATTACGATATTCATTTTCAGCGAACGAACGTTAATTTTCACGTTTTTAGATATTTTGAGTGATAAGATCAAGCTGAATTGTGTTTTTCAAAATAAACTTGTCCTGAAAAATTGGAGGCTATAGCTACTCAGATGACCGAGATATCAAGCACTCCGAGTTTATTCATATTCCACATTAAATGACCTATTGCATTTGCAACAACTGCAAGTTAAAATTGAGTTTCTAGCATGCTCGTAAACACGAATATAAGCAATTTAATATTGAAAGAGGATGGCCTCTAAAAATCAAATTTTCAAATTTTAGCGACAGGATCTCGAAAGAGTAGTTACATAATATGCTATCTGCAAAGTTACAAGTCTCAAATATAAAACAGGTTATATAACACGTTATCTTCCGTAATGATCACTAAGTTTCATGTTCTAGGGAAGTTAAGATATTATGCTATTAATTTATTGTAAATGGTTATGGGTATGGTAAATTGTTGTGGTTAATTTTAATGGTTTTGGTCATGTACAGAAATATTCAAAACTTGAAAACATCTTTATGATTAATAAGTTAAATATTGCTTCAGCGCGGAAATTTGGAAGACGGCCAGTCTCTAGCTCCTGGATCATCAGGACTCAACGTTCCAAGAGGCACAACTGAAAAGCCTAAGAAAGGGGTAAGTGTAACTATATTTAAGAGATTTCAAATGCCTGACTTACAATTATATACACATTGCACATTGCACATGCAATTTACCAATTTCATCTGAAATGGAGTCATTTAGATCTATTTGATTAAAGTTAAGTTCTATAAATATATTAAACCACTGAAACCGCCGGTCATTACGTTGCTGATAGAAAATAGCAAAGATCATAGAAATGACAATGTACCGTAACTAATCACCATAATTAAGATCCATTCAGGGTTACGTGTTCAGAGAGGCTGTTTCTGATACCGGCCCAGTGACCCCTGATCAGAGACTCCCTCAACGTATCTTGCACCAGAAGGAACCAAAGTCAGGCTACATTTTCAAGAAAGGAGGTGATCACAGTATTTTAGATGTTCCTGAGCGCCAGCGAGGTGTTAGATCTGAGTCGACCAAGAAAAATTCGGGCTACGTTTTGAAGAAGGGCATCCCCCAAACTGGAGTACCATCGACTCATGATAGATCTAGAAGAGTGCCACGACAGTCTAAACGAAGTAAAAATTTAACACCTTCCCAAACTAAGGATCTGTACCCATCTTTCTCAATGGATAAAACGACTCGAGACATAATCGGTGCCCTTGAGTCGAATGAGGACACCAGTAAATATGATCAAAGTCATCTTGACACCGCAAAAGCAATCAGAGACTCGCTAAGAGCTACTGATCCCAACTTCTCCCTCGAAAAGATGGAGGCAGAATATAATCCGTCAGGTGATGGCGGAAAAGTTCTAACCGATGCTCAGACGTATCTTGAGGAGGTTTCTAGATTGAGACAAGATATGCTGCTGAAAGCGGCTGAAATGGAGAATGAGGAAGAGGATGATTATTATATGGACGATACAGACTATGAAGAAGAGTATTACGACGAAGATTACACAGATGAGGCTCCTAACGAGCATAGTCTGCAACCTGCTGATAATCTTATGCCACGTCGACCTAATGGCACTCCTAATTCGCCAGATCATAATCACCACAATGGCAAACAAACTTCGCAGGAACAACCCTCTATCAACATTGGATTAGGATTGCAGCAAGATTATATTGAAACGCCATTGTCTCAACATGCCGCTATTGATAGTCATAACATGGGGGACGCACGTACGAGTCACATTGTTCATGAAGGGCAACCTGTGAACAGTGAAATTGGGAGGAGGCCAACAGGTGGCCGACCATCTATTGGAGAGGACTCTGGTTATATTCCTCACTCTGACGTTGAGGGGGATAATTATGGAGATTCCGCTGTGAGACACGCTCATAGTGCTTATGGCGATTACAATTTAGGACGTGACGGAGAGAAAGTTCCGTCTAGGGGACATCATTCGGAGGGAGGGAGCTACAAGCAAGGGCACCCTCATAGTCCTTACAGTGGCTATGGTGCAGACGATGGAGAAGAATTTCCAGAAGGGATTACTGGAAATGAAGACGGAAATAAAAAGAATTTTAACCGTCTAAACACTTTTCTCGGCGGCACTCCGGACTTTGAATTCGAGAGGGCACCAGGGGTCCCTCTTAGGAACCACACTCCAAAATTCCCACCGTCCCAGATCGGAACACCCCGCACCAGCCCACCTGACAGAAATTCAGATGGCTCGCCTAAATACTCTGACAGTCCACGTATATACGTGTCGACCCCAGGAGCAGGGTTATCTGGACAGCCAACCAAGGTTAAAGTCCAAAGTTTCGGATCAACAGAAGTACCATTTCTACCAACAATGGGAGATGAGAGATACGTTATTAACCCCTCCATTCCTTACCCCTCTGTAGCACAACAAGATACTGTTCATTACACAACCCATGAGTTGGTTGGTGCTTATAATCCTAGTGAGTAATTAATATAGCAGATTAGTGTCTTATTACCTTTTAACCATTTTAAATAGGACACCCAAATGAAATTGTAGCATCAGAATATTTAGTTTCAACATTTTATTAACCATTTATCTACTCCATTTTTGTTAACTGTCGCCAGCTCACCCGTGACTGGTTATACCAGCGTCCTCCTCCATCACGACCTATCATCTTTGTTTCGAAAAACATCACCAAAAACCGGTTGATAGTCAACCATTTCAGGAACACATAAAGGAGTTCTTGGAGTGTTACCAAAAAGGAACATGCCTGCCCACCTACTGTTCAGGTCTCAAGCTGGAACACCGGGGAGAGTCCGCAGTAGCAGAAAGAGAAGAGATAAAAACCGACCCAAGTAAGGGAGATCAATTTCATATTTAATTACTAAAAATGCAAGAAGAAGAGCTTTCGCTTTGACAGCATAATATGCGGTATGATACTTCATGAAAAATATTATTATTAGACGGTTTATGGTTTGTAAAGCAATCTCGACCCTCGAGACTAATACAGCTGAGTAATAGCTGAGTAATTGTCGTCCAAGGAGGGCCTCAGGCTTGTGCGAGTCTCCGACCACTGCATTTAAATGATTTTGAAATTTACATATCGGGTGACGCAAATTTAGTGGTTATGTTGTTCCCAAGTACACTTATATTGATAATTTAAACTGCTAACTGATTGATTCATATATGAGAATTTTGTGAGGAGATTAGGATTGATTTACAAACTATTGATATTCATTTTTATAATTTTTACGCTGTTAATATTTTAATCTCTAGATCGGAGAAGGGAAAATAAATTTTTGACATTTTAATTATTTCCTCTATTTCAGAGCGAAATTCGCAGAAATTAAAATCTGTTAAAAATGTTTGTGAAGATTTCATTGCTCAGGTCAGCAGTGGCTGCAGACGGGATCGCACACGGGTTTAACCCTCAATCATTGTCAGCTGCACTCACTGATCTGAAAAACCTTCCAGATATAAAGATAGGTAAGTGACATCATGACAAACACACATTTTAACGGCAGACAGTAGTAGTCTGTCTAAATAGAAAATCTCTATTTACTCTTACCAGAAGTTAGTTGGTGGCTCATGTTTTTGTCCATTTTATTCCAAACGGTACAATATGTGGATCTTCCTACCCTGCCCCCTTATATATTAATTCAGAGAGAACATTCAAGTGTGTCAAAATGTTAAAAATGATCTGGTATCTTGCTCACAAAAGCAAATAATGCAGCGAATGTTTGGTTAAAATCGTGAATAGAATTATGCCTTAAAGTTTCGGAATGCCATCGCCGGATAAATAATTTGAAATGTCTCTTACCACGTGCGATATAATAAACAGGACACTACCAGCTACCAGTCCGGTGAACACCAATCAGAAAGATACGACGAGGCTATATTACAATAAATACACCCAGAAGATAAATATTAAGCTCACTCGGAGATGCACTCAGAAACTTAGATTTTATATAAACTACCACCACGTCCGGAGAGATATTAGAAACAAGCAGAACAGCTTGCTTTAATTTACAAATCACAACGGAGATTATTGTACGTCACCAGTCAATCGGGAGATTATGAAGGACAACCTGTGAACCAGAGTCCTTATATTCCTCACTCTGACTTTAAGGGGGATGATTATGACTAGAGCACAGGCTGGATGACACTGCAGAAAATCTAGAGAGAATTGTTAAGCTGAGGTCCGAACTTGCTGACAACTTCCAACACAACTCAACTACAGATCTGGATATGTTCAGCGATATAACTGACTCTGAGGTTCCTACAACCCCCTTGAGAGGTAAACTACTACATATCGCAAAATTCAGAAATGAGCGCGGCCAGCAGACGACGCCTCCTAAAGTATATCATAATTATATGCGTAAGCAGCTAAAATCTTAAAATGTTGAGCTAGACTGTATAAACGGAACCGTTAAGTGATTTAAATCTGCTCGGTGATTTTACTCTGCTCGATATCAAATTTGAGTTTCAAGGTCGGTGATCGTACATGTAATTTTAAAATATTTAGTCAAAGACCTGGACTATTTCTATTACTCATTTAAATAAGATGCATCATAAGTCAATACGAAAGAATACATAAGCAAGCCACAAACGATATATTATTTATTGAGACTCAGTCCTAACTTCTAAGTAATCATACGATCCTTCTTACTATTGGACGTTAACCTAAAAACAACGAGAAATTTGGATTTACAGATTATTATGGTCTTTATGCAAATTAATTTACAAATAACACTGTTCACAGAGATTATGAAGGACAACCTGTGAACAGTGAAATTGGGAGGAGGCCAACAGGTGGCCGACCATCTATTGAAGAGGACTCTGGTTATATTCCTCACTCTGACTTTAAGGGGGATAATTATGGAAAGTCCGGTGCGAACCAATCAGAAGCACCATATCATTATCGGGCACATCAGAACCCACCTATCAACGGATGTCTCGGATCTGGATATCTGATGTGTAACGGCATAAACCCACTGTAGGTCTTTCCGGGCAGTAAACCGTTTGTTAAGCTATCGAATTGCTTGTGTAACACGTCTCCACCTATCTCAAAATTTCTTGGCGTATATCATCTCATAGAGGCAGTTCAGTCTCTGTTAACAGTTCAAATGAGGATTGCGCAGACCGGGATCCCCAAAGTCTGCGGCCCCTCCCTCAATGTTTTAATTAAGGGTCGAACCCTTCTGCCCATGGCTTGCCAAGATGAACTTTTCGATCAATCAATGCCCTATGGCTATAGTTCCACATAGCCTGTTACAGGTTACTGTATATGGTAAGTACTTACTTGTAGCAACCTCGTGAAGTGGACACTGGACTTTGGAGCCTTCATCCCAATTCGGGAGACTATGTATCAGTTGCCCCTACTGGTGCAAATGACTCAATAAGCTGCTTTATAACGTTCCGCAAATTAGTCAGAAAGATACGAAGAGGCTATATTACAGTAAATGCGTCAGCAACCAGAAGATGGATATTAAGCTCACTCGGAGATGAACTTAGAAAGATAGATTTTATAGAAACTACCACCACGTCCGGAGAGATATTAAACACAACCTGGACATCTTGCTTTAATTTACGTTAATGCAGTAGCCTTACCCAGCTTATCTTACAGCTTAGACTTAGATAGCGGTGAGCTACTGGCTTGTGCAAATTAGGGAAATTTAATAGACCAATCCACGTTTAACAAGTAAAATTCATAATTACAAACTGGCGGAGGGAACAATTATAATATTTGTTTTGGAATTAAATTAGATTGTTTCAAAAGGTAAAATAAATTTTACCAGTGCACTAACTATATCTCCTAATCAAGCCAATTTAATTTCAATGTTGTATTTCTACAAAAGAGAAAGGACGGAGAGATTGTAATAACAGTAATACGACTAATAGAACGCTACCAGATATAGTGGTCGTACATCATGATAAACCCTTAACGCACTGCACTAACTACTAGTACTATAGTTGAAGCACAGAAACTAAAAATAGCTGCGACTATCCCTCCCCTCCACCGTGCTCTCCCCATTTGTTTGATAGCCAGTACTAACAATCTAATTTTCAGGTCCTCCAAGCTCGGATGGTAGCGAAAATAGAAGATCTCTGAGATCCTCATCTATAGATTCCGGGATGTTAGACGGAGAGGAAGCCGGGATGGGAGGGGGTGGACTAGAGCACAGGCTGGATGACACTGCAGAAAATCTAGAGAGGATTGTTAAGCTTAGGTCCGAACTTGCTGACAACTTCCAACACAACTCAACTACAGATCTGGATATGTTCAGCGATATAACTGACTCTGAGGTTCCTACAACCCCCTTGAGAGGTAAACTACTACATATCGCAAAATTCAGAAATGAGCGCGGCCAGCAGACGACGCCTCCTAAAGTATATCATAATTATATGCGTAAGCAGCTAAAATCTTAAAATGTTGAGCTAGACTGTATAAACGCTACCAGCAACCGACGCCTCCGCCCTCCTAAAGTATACCATAATTATATGCGTAACATTATATTATTATATTAAGAAAGCAGCTAAAATATAAAAATGTTGAGCTAGACTGTATAAACGGAACCGTTAAGTGATTTAAATCTGCTCGGTGATTTTACTCTGTTCGATATCAAATTTGAGTTTCAGGATCGGTGATCGTACATGTAATTTTAAAATATTTTGTCAAAGACCTGGACTATTTCTATGATTCATTTAAATGCCCTAGTAGCAGGGAATAGTTGAGTGAGCACTTCGATGCATACGATTTCTGACGACACAGGGTCCTTCGTTAGGTCATTTTGACCCAAAATCGTTTAGGTACGCAATTTTTGGGTCAAAATGACCTAACGAAGGACCCTGTGTCGTCAGAAATCGTATACATCGAAGTGCACACTCAACTATGCCCTGCTACTAGAGTAAAATAACTATAAGACGCATCATTAGTCAATACGAAAGAGTACATTAGCAAGCCACAAACGATATATTATTTATTGAGACTCAGTCCTAACTCCTAAGTAATCATACGATCCTTCTTACTATTGGACGTTAACCCAAAAACAACGAGAAATTTGGATTTACAGATTATTATGGGCTTTATGCAAATCAGTGTTTGAGTGTTCCGTAGGTAACGCCCTTATGCCTATGAATTTCAAGTCGCAGATATTTTGGAATTGATGCATTATGACGGCAAGGTACATATTTATGACAAGTTTTTAATATTTACATATATAAAGCAACATATGTGGTCCTACTTGCTTCCTTTAAAAGATATTGGAAAAAATCATTAGAAGTATACTCTGGTGAATCTCAAAAAGAGCGAGATCAAATTAATTTGTTCAACTTAATCAAGTCTGAGCATATTGTATTTCACAATTCACGTACTCTAGTTCGACACGACACTCGAACTTGAGTGCGTGTCGAACTAGGGTACGTACCCTGGCTCCATAATATGGAAATTGTGTTTCACTTCTGGATGAAAAGCCGCTGAAAGTAGAGGTGCTCGTTGAGTTTGACTTTCCGTTCCATTTGTTCCGCGGAGCAATATTTGACGAAAGTCGATCATCTCAAGATCCTAGAATACAATTTCCTTGAAACTTGCCAGATAGTAAGATGGCTACGGCTATAAGACTGATAATCTGTGCAAGTTTGGGCGAATTTATATGCGTAAAATTTGAGATATCACTTCAAAAACAAGAAAATATCTTCAAAATAGCGAATTCTACGGAACGCAGGTAAATAAAATTCAATGTTCAGCTTATTGGTAAGGCTATTAGCCCACATACAGAGTACTCACATCATTACATTATAAAACACATGCTACATAATAAAGACAAACAAGAATGGACGCAAATAACCTTGAAGTTTGGATCAGATGTTCTCAAATACTTGCTCACCACTAGTACTCACTAAACAAGATAACTGTGTCGCCATCAACTTTTCACGGTTACCGAGTCTGCAGTTAATTTACGCTACCACTTTCATTTTGAAATTCACTCTAAATAAATATTAAATAGGCGCCGTTTAGTCCTAAAAAGGTTTATCGGTTACCATAACTTAATATTTTACAAGGTTTTAGCCTTCAAAAAATATATATTCATCTATATAGCATTCTAGATATCATTGAAATCATTTTGAACACCAAAATGAAAATGTTTGCCTTTTTTCGTATTTCACGACCTTAAACAATTTTATAGCTCGAACACAAGGGTTTCACTCAGCATGAATTTTGTATAAATTATACAAATTTTTTTTCTTCCAAATATCATAAATTCGGTCATGTCTAGCCAAGCTAATTACGATCCTGTAAAAATTAATTCAAAATAACAGATGCTTTGTGCGTAAGTTACCAGACTAGATATTAACAATTTCACTTTAATTTAGCCTCAATATGCCAAAGTCTAAGGAATCATGCCTCTTATAGTAGCCTGGCATGAGCTTTGCGTAAATATTCTGATTAGATGTCCAATTTAGGTGTCACATATGTAGTTGGGCGACAAAAATCTACAGAGGCAACATATAAATATTTGCGGCAAAATGTTGCAAAAAATTGCGATTCTGCACTTGCCTAAAATTAATTAATGTGCGGCAGGTGTGTGCGACGAGTCTGGGCCTTGCTGGTCTTGGTATATCACTATATGATTACCTGGGGACCCTGCCCTCAGGCTTTGGTGTTCATGAACTTCACCGATTGAAGATATGGCGGAATGACAGACTGAGCGCCATCCAGTAAAATATATAAACGCTCCCTAACAAAGAAGGAGCAACTTCATCAAAAATAGCTCACATTTAGAAAATATCGCTATGATTTGACGGCAAGATTCTATTCTATTTCTATGTTTCATCAAAAGATGACTTTTTGGCGCTCTGGTACATGGTAGGTCTATATAAAATATATAATAAGTCAATACTCAATATTTTGCGATTTGAAAACATAACTGATACGTTTAAAAAAACTATTTTTAATGAGAATATGTGCGGGGACACGTGAACTGTAAATCTATGGCATAAATGGCATAAAATGCCAATTTACTCCAGGTTTTTCCATTTTCTCCATGAACATTTAGGCCATTTTAGGTCATTCGCCGCACGTTTACCGCACATTTCAAAAATATTTATCGCACTCGAGCCGTACTATTCGCCAAATTGGCCGCACACTTGCAGCACATTGATCAATTTGTTCGCAAAATTGAAAATTTGTTCACACTTATACGTTAATCTGTATAGTTAAACAAAAATTACAGATAAAGCAAGTTAAGAGAATTCTTGGAAAATTTTATTTTGTTTTCAAGAAGTTAAGATACTTCTCATGGTGGAAATACACCAAAAAGTAAATTTGCCATACCTTACTTTGCCATACCTAGATACACCGCGTGGAAAATCTTCTTTTTTGTGTATTTATACATATTATCACGAACAACGAATGCCAATTCTCATAATGTCATTTTGGTTGACAGACCATAACGAAGTTAACTTGTAATATATTGACATGTTAATCGACTTCAAAGAGAATAAATCCGATTTCGAATTAGCTAAATAATTGCAATCTGACAGTAGGTCAATACGTAAACTTAGTAGAGTTTCATTATAAATGTCATATTTTGCTAATCTTGATAATACTGTTTGCGAATTTTGATCTACGACTCAAGAACCAGTATAATATAGGGCTTACTCCCACTAATAAATCGCTCGCCCAAACTTTTTAATATGTGTTTGTGAAAAGGCCCTGTAACGTGGATCGGTGCATTTTTGGACGCTGATTCCGAATCAATTCTCATGTCACAGGATTAAATTGCTTCCCTGCGGAGTTATGGGCAAAAGTGAAAGGCCGGTAAAAGTGAAAGGCTGGTAAAATACAAATTTGAGTTTTTATGGCGTGGGTTAGGAGTGTATGGTGTAGTCATGGTTATGGTTAGCTTTGGGGTTATGGTTATGGTTTGGGTTGGGTTGAATTTAGATAAGATTGTTTCGTTCGGCTGAAAACCCGTAAAAACTCACGTGAGAAAAATTATATGGCCTCCCTATACTAACATTTAATTTTGTATGGTAACATTTTTACATTTATATTTGTAAAGATATGAAAAAGCGATTAAATCTTTTGTTCAAGTTTTTACCAATACAGTGATGACAGATAAGGGTGTCAGTGTATTTACAAGTCGATTGACAGCATTTAAAATATCAGCTCAACGGCTCTCTACGTGAATTTTTTACCAATCTGGCTAATGAAAGTTTTAAAATAATCCCTCGAAATTCGGGACCATAGTTCAATAGATGTGGTCAATTTCAATGGTATAATATAATTAACCATTATGATAGAAAGTTCGATCCAGCTGACTTTACTCAGTGGTTTAAACAGAAATCACATTGTTCGGAATTGTTGCAACGTTCAGTAAAACTGAAGATGCCAGGAAGTCACCAAATCAACAGTATGAAGTTCTGAGTTGCCTTATTCTAGATGTCTTTAACCTTGTTATTCTTCACTTCATTGTCAACATCCAAGGAGCATCTTGCGTAAGAACTGTAACCGGTATCTCGGTTCATCACATCACTCATCCGGCCACATTGCGTTCCTGAAACACTCAAAATATTTAATCGATTAATTAATAAAATTTAATATCACAATCATCACTCTTAATGACAGATTACTAGATTTGGGTACGACAAACCTGAGGTGCTACTTTGTCTAAAGGTCCGGAAGTAAGAACTAGATTGTGTCATGGAGGGTGCTGCCTTGTTTTTACATTGAGAGGGTCTTCTCTTCTTGGTTAACTGAGTGTACATCTTTATCATCACTGCTCCCATGTTGGACCTAGGTAGATATTGTTTGTCATGGTTCTGTGCGGTAAAACTATAAGTCTAAAATAGTATCAATATTACCAAACTTAACCACGCAAGACTCTCTTTCCTGCAGTGGGGAGGAGCCCCATCTTGCATGAACCAGCACCTATCAAGCACATGCTTTCTCTTAAGAGCTGGCACAAACTTCTTCTTTAACATTTCGATGTAATTGGATGTTCTGATAGTGTCTGTTTTCCCGGTCTCACTACAGGGCGTGAATTATGATGTCTAATTTAAACTCAATTGTTATAATTGATCTTAGGAACGTATTTAACCACAAAATAGCGAATTCATTGCCAAACCACTTGGATCACTTTAATGTTGGGGGCCACTTTTTAAATATTACCTTTTAAATTTTACCCCTCATTGATTCTTATATAGTACCGCCTCAAAAGTTCGGTCACCAACCCCACAACTGATCATTATTAGGTCATTATAATCTTCATTCAAACATAAAAGGCTAAGGTTTCAATTCTACGGAAAGTAAATTTACATTTACGGAACCATTTTGATAGTTGAAACCTGAACGAGAAAATGTCGATCAGTTAAAGATCGTTAAATAGCGCTCTTCATCTTGTACCAGTGTCATGTTCGGTAATACTGCTCTCCAAACCCAAAGAATATAATTATAGGGTTTATTACAAGGTTATAGGATTTGCTTTATTACAAGGTTATAAAATACTGAGTTTATTGATATAAGTTTTACTATTTGAGCTATTTGACCTATTTGACCTCTTGTCGCTAAACATGAATGGCAGGGCGTTTCTAATATAATGTTATAAATGAAACTAGTTAAGGGACGGAGAAGAAATTATCAAAATATAGAAATAAGGAATAAAAAGAGTTCCAATACAAATAAAACTTTCTTTGCAAAACCTATTGACTCGATTGTAGACTCACTCGAAGGAGTATATAGATTATCGCTCGTGATAGCTAGGCCTAGGAGTGCCTTAGATTATAACTGAGACAAATAAGGCTATACGCTCGAACGCTTGTCAACTGGTTTCCTTGATATAAGTGATCAAGGACGCAAACAGGAAGTCTCTAACCTAGAACCACATTTGGTCTTGGGTCCGCAAACGCGAAACTCTGAAACCCCGACAGTGAACTGCTCCTCAATTTAAGCAATAAGTGGATCATGGCTCACGCATGACACGTGTAAATTGTGCCTGCTCTTTACACCGAAAACCTACAACTGTCTGCAGTGTGCAAAAGGGCTATAAATAAATGTCCCTAAAATTATCTGTTAAACTAAGCAGATATGAGGTCACTTTTTTAAATACCCGAATAAAGTATAAAATATTAAAGTGCAGAGTTAACTGTCTATACGACTTATATTAAAGATTCAGCATTCTTGGAAATTACGTGATCTCTACTTAGCTGCGGGTATTTAAAATGATCTGTTTCAGAGAGCGATCTGATAAGTGACGTTGCAGTTCCTGGACTACTAGATATTCCTGAAGAGACGGCCGATCATCATAAGGGTATATCTCAGCCCAAATATTATTTTTATTTTCCGTTTTGTTATTTGTCAAGCTCCTGCTGAAAACAAGTATCTGTTGCCTCCATGATAAGCCTCATTATATTTTCAGAAAATTACTTGAAATTGTTAATAATTAATATGTTCCTTATAGGTACAAAGAAACAGTCTGGTCCTTTAGGTAAAGTAAGGGGTGGTATTGATTAATGGTAGTGACGCAGTGTAGATGTATTGTGCAGCAACGTCAACTTCTTTAATCTTTGTGTCGTTTAACATTGGTGGGAAGGCTGACGAATTCTGAGATCGGGGAGTGACAAAACGTTGATTTGAAACTTTCATCAAAAATTACAGAATTATACAGCAATGAACTTATAAATTTTGTTTAATAAATTTTTCCATTTCGTCATTGTTTTTATATAATATTTAAGAATATTATAGAATATTTTAGAATATTCTAGAATATTTTAGAATATTTTAGAATATTTTAGAATATAAAAACAATGTCGTTAAAGAATGCTGAGGCTGGTGAGAGCAGGAACAAATAAACAGGATTCGACAGTTATGTGATTGGGGAAATCAGTAACATCCATGTTAGAACACACGTGCTCTGGCCTCCATAATAGTTGAATATTTGTTTATGTAAACCGGACTCAAAATGAGAAGTTCTTAACAAATTTCAATCTTGTTGATCACTTCAACCCGTCAGTCTTTACTCTTTTTAACTTAAAGAACAAGAGTATGACTGGGAGTAAGTAGCTATAAACTATAGACAATATCAGTACCTTTTCTCATCTCTTAAAAGCTTAAAATAAATGAACAACCACTTAAGAGGATATTTAAGTATTTAACTGCTGTTCAAAAGTTAAAAATAATGTTTAATGACGCACGCAGACGGCTTTGATAGTTTGTCTGAGCTGGGATGAATTGGAGTAAGTAGCGAGCGAATTCTAAATTGTAGAAAATATCAGCACTTTTTCTCGTCTCTTTAAAAAATAAATGAATAACCTAGATATAATGATTAATGACGCACGACACTCTATATGAAATGAAAGCTGGTTGCAGTTTGACCAACAAGCTGTAACAAGTATGAGTAAGTTTTGTATTGCCAGCACTCCCGGCTAAAGTTCTGAAACTAACACAAATGATGTAATGATTTCCGGAGAAAATATTTGCTTTATATAAGACAACAGAGATGGATTTAAATTTGTTCCTTCTTAATATCGAATGTGCATATTTGGAGAAGGTTTGCCGTTATTCAAATTCTATCGGTTTTCGCTGCTTAAAAGTCCTTATGAAGTAACCTTACAAGGAGAAAAGAAGAACTACGTAACTGGAATTGGACAGGTACTGAGTAGTATGTAATCCAGATAACTGCTATTAAAGGCGATAAGATAACTACGAAATACGACTACACGTACAGTTTGAACTTTCTAAAAATGAAGCAAACATAAGTCAAATTGATATGATTCATTAGGATGCGCTTAGTCTCAATAAGCGCTTAATTTACAGCGATGTTGTGATTCAAAATTTAAGTAAAGTTTTCTCATCAAAAAGTAATACTTCGATGGATTGAACCACACAGATGTACATTGTACTTGTTTGAGAAAACTTGTAGCATAAATGACGTGTCTACAATCTACATATCATGTATTAAAATCATGACATCCTTACATGGCATGTGTGTTTTCATAGTCACACTTCAAAACACTATCACTGAAAAAAAATGTGTAAATGTGCGGCAGTGTTTAAAGCATTCTTTAAAATTTCAAGTTTTACCCAAATATTTTTATCTTGGTCTTATACGGACGCTACATCTATATTGAGACTATAAGAATAGCAAGCACTAAAATTCTTTTAAAAAGGCATTCATTTTAGTTGCATTTAAACTTTTAAACGATAAAGGAAGTTTGGGTTCTTTTGCGATAGTCAAAACGCGACAACTAGCGCTGGATGGCGACAACTAGCGCTTTCCAGCGCTAGTTGTCGCCATCCAGCGCTAGTTGTCGCTATCCAGCGCTGGATAACGCTGGCCAGCGCTAAATATATTTGTTCGATAATTGTCGCTATCCAGCGCTAGTTGTCGCCATCCAGCGCTAGTTGTCGCCATCCAGCGCTGGTTGTCGCTATCCAGCGCTAGTTGTCGCTGGCTATGCGACACTGTCGCACGCGATAGTTTGCGATGGCCAGCGCAACTGGCCATCGCAGAAAACAGTTCGATAACTAGCGCGCTGGCCAGCGCTGGCTAGCGCTGGATAGCGACAACTAGCGCTGGATGGCGACAACTAGCGCTGGCCAGCGCTAGTTGTCGCTATCCAGCGCTAGCCAGCGCTAGCCAGCGCTGGCCAGCGCTATCCAGCGCTAACCAGCGCAAAGATCAATTTTTGATAAATTTTCGATAAATTTTCGATAATTGTCGCGACAAATAGCGCTGGATAGCGACAACTAGCGCTGGCCAGCGCTAAGCGATAGCCAGCGCAACATTTTTGCGATATTACTCGTCAGCTAGCGCTGGCCAGCGCTGGCCAGCGCTGGCCAGCGCTATCCAGCGCTAGCCATCGCTAGCCATCGCTAGCCAGCGCTGGCCATCGCTGGCCAGCGCCATGTATCAAAATCATATAATTATAATTGCGATATTACTCGTCAGCCAGCGCTAGCCAGCGCTAACCAGCGCTAACCAGCGCTGGCCAGCGCTATCCAGCGCTATCCAGCGCTAGCCATCGCTAGCCAGCGCTGGCCAGCGCTATCCAGCGCTAGCCAGCGCTAGCCAGCGCTGGCCAGTGCTGGCCAGTGCTATCCCATATCCAGCGCTAGCCAGCGCTGGCCAGTGCTGGCCAGTGCAATGTATCAAAATCATATAATTGCGTTACTGGGCCGCGCTCAGCCTGTCATTCCGCCAAATCTTTATTATTAATGAACATAATAGCCTGGGGTCCTCAGGTAAATAATTGCGATATTACTCGTCAGATGCAGCGCTGGCCATCGATAGCCAGTGCAAAATGTTTGCGATATTATTATTACTCGTCAGCTAGCGCTGGCCAGTGCAATGCATCAAAATCATATACTTGCAATATTACTCGTCAACCAGCGCTAGGTAGTGCAAGTTATAAAAATCAAATATTTGCGATATTAATCGATGGCTAGCGCTGGTTAGTGCTGCCCAGTGCAATTCGGAATCAGCGTCCGAAAATACATCGATTGAGGTTGGTTTCAACTGTCGGGGGCCCTTTTAGAACAATCTCGAAGATCGACTGTAGAGTGATTTAGCACGCTCGCTTGACCATTGTTAATGATCTGGCCCGGCGCGCGCTACTTCGTAGCTCGTGCCGTCGGGCACAACATTTCGAGAAGAAAGCGGCGCGCGCTACTTCGAAGAAATTTAGACGAGTAACATCCGTCAATATATTAGCAGACTTTACTCAACGCGCTAAATTCTATTACATATATTATGCGCGGTGCTCTTTTCGATCGTGAATCCTAGTAAGGTCAGGAAACCTTACTGGATGCACAAAATGATCATAGTGCAAATAAACTTCGGCTAACTGCTAACTAAGCAGCAGTTTCTTTGCACTATAGTTAACGGGTGATACTCGTAAAATATTTGTTCCAACTCGGCGCGCGTCCGGCCTGGTAGGTTGTTAACCTACAAGTGCACGTGCGTAAAACAACCCCAGTTACTACGGTTACAATGAAAATTCCTATTTCTCATCTAATTTGCACGTGGGCGGTCGTACATACATTTTACATTCTCATAAATAATTCTTTAGAATTATAGTAAGATTAGTATAATTTGAATAACCCTCATGCTTATTATTAGTAATATTGAAGACTTTATAAATTTTAGGCAATTGCTCAGATCTGTTAGATCATTTCGCTGAATTTTTCGGGATATCAATATGTTAGATTGAGTATGAACATAAATAATCGAGGTCGCCAGTAGTATGGAATTTGTAATTGATCCATGTACGACACAGTACTGCGCGCCGAAAGTTGAATATCGCAAAGTAAATCAAAAATCCTAACATTTCATCTGGATATTACGATCGTCTACATATTAACGTTAAACAGTATGACGGGAGAGTGTTTAACTCATGCTTCTAGCGTTTGGCTCGCTTTTAAAAGCGTGTAAAATAAATGAGCCACCAGCTGACGAGTATATTCAAGATTTATGATTTTGATACAATGCTGAGCACGAATGTAGCTGTGTAGCGCAGCAGACGCTGGCTAGCTTGTCTAGCTGTGAATAGGCTGATAGCGGCAGCGATTCTACGCATGTTAGCGAGGCTACGAGCTACGATTATTTCCGCCAAATAAATAATAATATGATTTTGATTACATGATGCCAGCGAGCCATGATGAGCTAGGATGCACGTGCTGACGCTAGGCTACGCTGTACAGCTAGAGTATTGCTACGCTGCCAGCACTGCCAGGCTAAGTCTGAACTAAACACAAAATAATGATTGCCTGGCAATTTGCTTACGTATAGCCACGAGCCAGCGCTAGTTGTCGTATCTTAGCCTATTTGTCGGACATATCGAAATTCATATCTGAAAATTTATCAAAATTGATCTTTGCGCTGCTTAAGTCGCTTGATAGACCTGGCCAGAGAAGGATACGACTGGAATTGCGACAGTACTAGTGTACTGATCCAGATACGCATAGGTTGTACCGCAATCGCACAGCTAGTTTGACTTTCTAAATAAGCGACTATAGCAACGCTGGCCATGCGCGCTTAGTTATACGAACTTAAAGTTTGAATTTCTATTGAATTGCAAGTTTCTATATTGTGCGGTTATTGCAAGTTATATGTTTAACCATATTATTTGTTGTCAGATGGTTGCCATGCTGGTGTATATCTGACTCAACTGTGTCGTGATGGGGTGTGGACCAATGAGGATGTTCCGGTGTACGTGACCCCGGACGGTAAAGTTTTCATCAGTAGTGTTATCGTCAACCAGCCGGTGTAAGTCTGCTACTTTTGTTAACGGCTCAAAAAGAACTGCCTAACAATTTTTCTCACATGTCAAAACAAAATGGTTCACCTCCCCACCGGTATCCTGTATTACTATTAACAGTTGTTAGTATTATTCACTTTTATTTATCTGAAATCTGAAAATGAGATCTCACGGGAATTTGTATTGCAGGTGCTCCAGCGACAGGATTAAGTTTGCTCAACAAGACGATGCGGATGATGTCCACAACAAACCGGAAGAAGGATCCCTCACATTCTCAGACGGTAAACTCACAGGATGGGTTAAATTCCCTGGACAGAAGGCTGTAAAGATACGCGGAAAACGCTGGGGTGAGCAACGAATCTTCTCTTAGTTTAGACGTTTTTCTAAAACATGTTCTCTGAAGTCCACAAAACTTATTGATCGGCAAGTTTGCAGACGAATTTTAATATGACGTGAGGAAACAAGCGCTCTAATGGATTGCAAAATAACACAATTACAAACTGATTTAATAATGCTTTATTCAATCAGATCCGCGACAGACAGGACACTACGTTATCGAAAAGAGGGTGGTGCCGAGGGTGTCAAATGCTGACGCAGAAGGAGAGCGAATGCATGAAGATGATAAGCCATCATCTTGGCAGCTAGTACCTCTTGACTTGTCCATCATGCTGGGAGGTGACATATTATATATTATATAATAAATCCAACCTTCAAATTTAAATTTATCGCGATTTGTCTTCGAACAATTGGGTGAATTTCGTCAGAGCATAAAGAAAAAGCTCACGAAATAGTTCGCTACCTTTCAAGAATGGTTACAAAATTGACAAGATTGGATCATAAGTATAGCAAATAAGCTGAGATGAAATGCAGAGAAAACGTCGTCTAATCTTAAAGTTAATGAAGGGTTGACCTTTTGATACAATATGACAGTTGCGACTTGCGCTCGTGATTGGTTCAATAATATGAGAAGACTGTCAGGCATATGCAGCTTTATGTGACGACATAATTAGATCGACCTGCCTTTCTCCAGGAACATTGTACGTCATTAAATTCAGTCGAATCCCTTGAAAGCGTGTGATTATAGTAAATATACTATATTATATAGATTAGACGACTTTGTCTTTAGTGACATATTGACTTTGTGAATTTGAATTAAGTACAAATTTAATGAATCCTGGATAAACGGTTAATCAGGATACCAGCTTAAAGACAATTTTAAATTGCAAATATCGCAGGCCAAATAAATGTGTACAAATTTGGTACGTAAATATTTAGTGTCGCACAATTTTCATGGAATTAAGTATTTGCAGAACACTGCATGAAATTTATTTATATCATGACCGCAATATACATTATACATAAAGGTTAAATCAATCCTATCTGTTTCAGGAAAAGTAACGATCAATGATGAACCAGTTTTTAATCCGTTATTTGAAGAAAACAATTTGAAACTTTGCCTCAATGTGAGTCAACGAGAGAGAGTATTAGTTTGCTTTCTTCCTTACTCATTAGAGTTAATCAACATTCGCTTGTTATTATTAGTAGTACTTGATAATCAAATGCTTTTCTCACTTATAAGTAAAACGTTTTTGGAACTTTAATTTCTTTATTTCAGGAAAACGAACAAATTGAGGCGGATATGAAATGTATTATGGCCGCGTTTGATCCTACCTGCACGGAGTTTAGCGGCAAACTGACCTCCGATGAAGATGTGGAGATTAAGCCTTCCTCTCACATAAGAATCAAAACCAAACATCACGAGGTTTTTATATAGTTAAATATAATAATAATAAGGATATTTTGTTTCGGACAGCAATTAGTTAATGGATTGTAGGTATAGTTAGTTTCTAGTAGTTACAATAAATCTGTTCCAAAAAAGCAAATAATTAAAAAGCTCTTTGCCTGCTTGTAAGCTAAACGAGTTGGAAAAATAGGGAGCTGTACTAATGGTGGACCTTTGATGTCATTAATTAGTCCTTTTACAGCATGGATTTGTGAGTAAAGTAGCATTACATATTAAAGCAGCAAAGTACATGAGCCTGGTTAGTGGTGATTAATTGGCACTCGCGTCCGTGAAGTGACCACTGACTGTTTCTATTTCTAAACGCTCTATACCACTACCAGGTTGAGATACGAGGAAGAAAATGGAACCCAGCCCTTGTCGGACACTACTACTGTCTTAAGAAATCAGAGTCTGGGAAGTGGGAACCTTACAACATGCCCCTGGAGATACGACCTAGTGGGGTGATGATGCTGAAGGATGTTGAAATGGGTGTACCGCCTTATAATGGAAATGAGGTGAGTTTTTTACGATAAAGGAAACTATTACTACTACCTGACATTCAATTTGTATTATTTGTAAAAATTGGGTATTCAACAAATCTCGAAACGACAATTCAAACCATGGAGGTCGTTGATTGGCTGTTTTAGATCACGTGACACTTCAGATCTACAGAGCAATCTCAAGCATTCTGTTATTTGATTCACGTGCACTGTGTCAGTAAGGATCACATAACTCTGAATGAGTTCAGAAGAATGGATGTCATCTAGTTTGAGTGGACATGACGACCCTGTCAACACATTGCACCTTGTGAAATGAGACGGCCCTAAGAGTCTAGCTTGTTATATGAACTATAAGTACTCCGAGCAAATTCAAATTTACCAGTTCCAACTTTACCAGTTCCAACTTTACCAGTTCCAACTTTACCAGTTCCAACTTCCCACGAAAACTCTTGTATTATTTAATACGAAATATTCAACACATGAAGATCACTGCTGCTCTACAAAAGCTAAAGAGGCGATGCTCCATCAGGAAGAAGAAGAAGACATCCCTTGCACACTCAAAGAGAACCACTTCCGCCCCCTTTATCTTCCACGACGATAACCTGCCCATCGCCTTCTCCCCGATCAGAACAAGCACCAACAATTCAGCCAGCAGATTCAAATCAACTCCTAATCTCAGATCTAAGAAATCTGTCTCATTCAACCGCTCAGGAAACCCCAATAAAACCCTGGTTACCTCCCAAGATCTGCCCAGTAATCTCGATGGTTCCCATACTTCCACCCCAAACCGCTCGTCAACCAGCTTAGTTCGTCAGACAAGTCTAAACACTCTAGCTAGCTCCAACCTTACAGCGTACAGCATGGAACCAGTGTCTGAGGAAACAGATTGCAATGAAACTGACTGTCTTGTGTGTGTTATGTTGAAACCTGAACTCCGAGGAAAACATCACGTGCAAATAAAACCATCCTTTCTCAGATCTTTTTATTAATTCCATCTGTACATTTAATTGATTCCTAAATCCTAATGATTATTATTATTTATTTTATTACATACTATTGTATGATTATAACCGCGGCATTTTATCTTGTCCCAAATTAAAAATCGTCTAACACAGAGACCTTCCAGGTCGAGATTCCATATTTATTTAGCGAAATGAAGTCGCTTCCTGATTCCATTTCGCTCAAATTCCTCGATGGTAAATACGTCGGATCGATCACCACAGGAGATGAAATTGAGGAGATCCGGGGCATACGATGGGGTTAGTACTTAGTACTCACAATTTTACTTGTCTCAAAGTTTGCTCACCAATTAATTAACTGTCCTCTGTATTAATTGTGTTTGATAACACTTTTATCTTCAGATCCAGCAATGATTGGGAAATACAGTACTCAAGAGAAACTAAACGATTCCTGGATTAATAAAAGTTAGTGACTAGTGTTCACTGTTCAAGCAAATCTCTTTACTTTATAAAACATTTTACCATTTTATTGCAACTTCAAACGCTGTTTCGATATCGAAATTTGCAATCTTCAGCAATACGAATCGATTAGGGTTTGAATTATCGGTCCAATAAGTTGTATCGCGCGATAAAATTTTGTCATAACAATGAGTAGAGCTAAGTTTCTGTTGATTTTTATCACTGACATAATCAATTACACCTTCGTCACCTTTGTGAATAAGGATTACGGAAGTCCTGAGTTACTGTTACACGAATTCTAAACACGTATTTGAAATTCCACAACGGCATCGTAAATTTATTTAGAAAGCAATCAGATAATATCAATTCAAGTGCGTGCAAATTACAATTAACAGATGTTCAAAGAAAAACAAGTAACTTTACTTAGAAGTCTTATTGGCAAAATAGAATTTTACTCTATGGGAATTGGCCATTGGGAAACATATGCTATTAAAATGATTGATCATCAAGTGCAGGACAAATAAGCAATAAGACGTGAGAATGAAATGTGAATAACTTTACATATTTTAATTTAGAGGATGTAGCAAAATTCGGTTAATAAATATCCATGCTAACAATTTACTATATCAAGAGTGAAAGTGAGCGGTGAGAATTAGCTAGTTAGCTGTAGAGGTCCAATAACGCTAAATTTGACCGATGATTTTACGGAATTTCGAACCTTTTGGAAATAATTTTTGAAGAAAAATGTTTGATATTATCGGTTTATCGGTTTGAAATTATCACCGATACCCGATAATGAATTTTTCACAAATTATCGCCGATAATATCGGTTGCAAACCTTAGGATCGATGAAAAACTAGTAGTTAGACCACTCCAACTGAAAAGCAAATATAGAGTACTGCAGCTCTGTAAGTTTAACTCTTTCCAATATGAGATCATTCTAAAGAATATGAAATCATTTCCACGAGAGTAATTATACCATAAGCGCTATTTTGGAAATTTCATTTCATCAATTTCGATTTGAAAATGAACGCTAACAATAGCTTACTGCAAAAAAAGTACTGTGGCCTGTCTTTATTATAGTGAAAACGATGCTACCTCAGTGGCAACTTACCATTTAGTAGTTACAAAAGATTACGTAGGATTCTTTTCTAAAGCATTTGTAACTGAACAATTCAAGTAAATGACAAACTCGTGCATTTAGAGTAATCAGTCGTGTATATGAATTAAGATTAAAAATCGGAATCATTTCGGCGATTGATTTAAGCTTAACACTCAAAACAGTAATAAAAAGTCAGCTGATTGTTGAATTAAATTAGAGACAACTAGGGATGTTTTCTAGGGAGAACATCCCTCATTCCCTCTCATTTGTCATGATTGAGCGTGTTTTCGGGGAGAGCTTTATTTACTTTAACAACAACTTTCGTATATACAGTGACAATACAGTGACAATACAGTGACAATACAGTGACAATACAGTATATACTATATATACTGTATTGTTACTCTTTAAATCCAGAATATACTGTATTATCACTTTTTATATCCAGAATATACTGTATTGTCACTCTTTATATACTGTATTGTCATTCTTTATATACTGTATTGTCACTCTTTATATACTGTATTGTCACTCCTTATATCCAGAATGTTGAAAGCCTGTAAAACCAACTCGAACTAACAATCAATTAAGCATATCATCTGAATTGCGTCATCCTCAGGTGAGATCTTGAGTATAGCTCCTGACGGATCCGTGGATTACGACGGTCGAAATATTGACCACGGTTTTATAGTAGATAACAAAGTCTTTGTGGTAGACGAGGGGGGAGTCGACAGCTTTTTCAACAATACAGGTAGTTTCAAATAAAATCTATGTTGTTGGTTCTATGTATAACCCAAAGCTAACGTGATGATATCGTTATATTAAAAGGGTACTGCTGGTAACCTATAGCTGGTAACCTACTGCTGGTAACCTATAGCTTTAAATGAGTTGCGTTAGGTAAGAGCACTATCCAAATTATGGCAATATTATTACGAATATATCAAACCAAATTAGGATTTAGGCGTGCTGTAGGAACAAACAAAGGCCATTAAGCCTATCAAATAGGGAGATACCACTATCATATTGCGAACTTTGTAGCTAATGCTACAGTGGAATACTGCCACTAAGACATTAAAAGTATCGTCGACAATCGTTCATTGGTGAATTGTTACACGCCATGTAAGTCTTAAGGAGTCAAATAGATATTATCTCTCAAATAAAATGAAATTTTATGAAAAGCTCTCAATGACAGTCTCACTCATGACAGTCTCACTCATGTAGCAAAAGGATCATTACTTGGCAATTAAAACGGCTGAGTGGGATAAGGCGACTTTCTGTCCTGAGCTTAATATTTGCAAGTTGACAGTCTGAAGTGGGAGGTAGTTTATGGATGCTTGGTCACGTGACACACAGATGACAGGTGTCAGTGGTAAAACATAACATGCTACTAAATGAGGGACAGTGGTGATAGGCAAAGAGGTGATAATTTCTGATAACCTATTCAAAGTCTTGCTATGGCTGACTATAAGAGTATTAGTATAACGATACATCAATCTGCATAGTGCATAGGTTTAAACATATACAGAGTGGCCCAGGAAACACTACCCATCCTTATCTCTTAAAATTGTTACAGGTCGCTGACATCTTGCTAATTATTTTATTTCAGAATGGAAAAGCGCCATGACTTACGTTCTGATTAATATTTTTGCTTCACATTTTTAGAGAATGTCAATCATAATTAGACACAACTTCGTGCCAAGTTTTGTGTGAGTCTGAGCTTCTCTGACAAAGTTAGCTCCTGAGCGTGCTAGCTTTAATTTCTCACCCAGAACTGTTTACATTGGTTAATAGGAACCACAAAAAAAATCCTGGGTAAAAAAATTAAAAAACCACCGATTTATTTATGTTTTACCAATTCTATTCACCATGATCCATCGCAAATTCCATTCCGGCTACCGGACAACTGAACCCAATTTGGACTTTTCCTAGACAGGGTAGCTTGGGAAAATAATTATAAACCCAATCAGACTACCTAATTAACTTTGAAACGACAACTGAACCCAATCGTCACTAGAAATCACTAACAGTTTAACAGGTTTCCAAATACCGTTCTAGTTTAGCTGCTGCCTGGTTTCTAGTGCTATAATTTCGGAGACAAAACAGAGACAATATTTCATTAATGTTAATTTTAATAGGTAATTGTAAATATATAATAATTATTACTTAAAATCTCACACAAAGTCATCATAATATTTCAGCTTAAGCAGTAACATCGTGTCCAAAGCACTTAGCAATGGCAAAAAGATACTCTAAAACTGTATCAAAACTGTCAAACTTAGAACATATATCATATAACTCAAGGTTCGAGCTCGTGTACAAGCGTACTAATAGATGACAAGGTCTCAGGTGCCTTTCGATCGCGAGATCTGATCTAACAAGCTTACGTGTTCACGAAGCGTGCCGAAAAGGATACGATCCACTGCATCGAGATCCGACCCAGGGCTCGAGATCTGAACCATGGCAGGCCCTCCCAAAGCATCAGGAGTCACGAGATCTGAGTCAAGTAACCTGAGCCAAGTACCCAGCGTGCTAATGGTGCGTTCCATCAGCTTTGGAAGACATGAAACAGTGGAACTATAAGATCGCCCATCAAGATCCGTATCTACAAGGCTAACTTTCAAAGCTAGACGGACACGTTGTCAGAATGCCAGAGACACAGTTTCCCAATTTTTTACTGAATTAGAAACCAAACTATGGAAAGAGACTGAGAGGACGACTCCGTAAAGGCTGGATGTTCTGTATTCTCGAGGATGCGGCTGACAGGTGTCGATAACAGTTAGCTCTAAAACAGTAAAACGAGTGGAACACCGTAGAAGAGATGTGTGTGATGCAGGCCACTCCAACGACTAGGAGGAGACCTTTTCAATCTTCATGTAGCATGTATGTATTAATATTTTACCGGGGTAAGCACAGGGCTCCAATGCTCTTAATTACAGTGATCATGATCTTTCCTATAGTGATAATGACCACAGTCCCCTGCGAAGAAGGAGAACCTGAAAATCCGATCGTTGGGTTCAGTTGTCGTATTTCCTTGGGTTCAGTTGTCGTATTTCCAATTTGGGTGCAGTTGTGATATGACCTGGGTTCAGTTGTCGTTTTGGGATTTAAGCTGATTGGTCACCCAATTAAGCTGATTGGGTGCCTGTTAACTGCGTGGGAACTAGGTTCAATTGGGTTCAGTTGTCTGCCACCCCAAATTCCATTCTCTGCACTGTGTGTACATATTTCAGCTGCACGATTTTGCAGACTGCTGTACAGTGTACATCCTATATTTGAACTGATAAGGACTATCACGGATGATCCTTCCTGCTTGTTTATATCGTTCTGCTCACTTGCCTTAACAAATTTAAAATTATAGCTGGATGATTAGCCTACAATTTTATCGATACTGAAATCAATCGAATTGCGTTTCTCGACAGGCACCACGAGAAGGTTCATCCATTGCCCGCCGTGTTGGCGATTAAAATCACCGTTTGTGTTGGCGATTAAAATCACCGTTTGTGTTGGCGATAAATATCACCTTTTGTGCCACAAATAATGTGGATTTAGAGAAGGTGCTCAATGTGACCACCGCCTCGGCTCTTCAGGACGTCCATCCTCTTGGCTACTGATAAACAGGAGTTCTGGCAGTGAGTGATGGGGATGTCCCGCAAGTTGTCACGAATGACAACTTCTAAAGCAGCAAGGTTGGGGATGGGTAGACTCTCGTAGACCTTATCCTTCAACCATCCCCACAGGAAGAAGTCGCAAGGAGTGAGGTCAGGAGAGCGGGCTGGCCAGTGTTGAGCAAGTTTCTCTCCGATCGTCATGCTCCCAAACTGGTCACCAAGGTAATCAATAATGCGGTTGGGGATGTGCACTCTCGCCCCGTCCTGCATAAAGCTCATAAGAGACGGATCCAGGTCGTGGTGTGCACAGAAGTTGAAGAGTTCTGGTATGAAGAAGTTCTGCAACATCTGTAGGTAGCGATCTCCGTTCACAGATACAGTTGCACCAGCTGCGTCCTTGAAAAAGTATGGTCCGATGATTCCGTGAGAAGAGATCGCACACCAGACGTTGAGCTTTGGAGAGTTTTGAGTAGGTCTCTGCTGCACGCTGTCAGGTCTCTGGCTGCCCCAGTGTATTGCGTTGTGGCTGTTAACGGAACCGTGGAGGCAGAACTTGGCTTTGTCGGTCCACCAGATGTTTCCGATAAAGTTTTCGTTTGTGGCATCTTTCGGAAGGAACCAGTCAGCAAAGCGTACTCTAACTGGGGGATCCTGAGGCTGCAGAGTGTGGTGAACTGTCCAGCGATAAGGGTACAGTTTAAGTTCAGTCCTCAGAATGCGTTGCAAAGTCGTCCTAGGTATGCACTATGCCAAGATTGGCCGAACGTCTTCTGGTCGATTGCCTGGGGTAGTCTGCCACAGATCCTACTATAGCCACAGTGTTCTCAAAGGTCACACCCGTAGAAGGTCCACCAGATGCATCCTTTTGTCGGTCGGTGACAACTCCATGTTCTTTAAATTTCTTCTTAAGGTTGTAGACTGCTTTCCTAGTAGGGGGAGTGATTCCAGGGAATTTCGCTATGAACAGTTGGATAAGAGCTGCGAAGGGGGTATCCTTGGATTCAGAAACAATGAATATCCGTTGCTGGAGAGTTAGTTTACGAGGCATGATGAGATGATCGTTAATGATTAATAAATTTTGGCGACTTTTAAGGGGGAAATCTATCCCTGATATCGTAAAATTCCCATGAGAATTCATAAGATTATGGATTATCAACCGGAAATAATTAGCAATATCTCAGCGACATGTAACAATTTTAAGAGATAAGGATTGGTAGTGTTTCCTGGGCCACCCTGTATAAGGTTTCATTTAAACATTCTTAATTCTGCCCTATCTAACATGAACTTATCATTAACAATTTTAAGTCATGTGTAAATTTTCTCAAGATAAATAAATTGAGTCCTCTCATCATCCTCTTTTCTATTTTCTATCTTCTTTCTTCTGCGATGAATTTTTGATCATGATGCCCAACAAAGTTTTCACAGGACCAGTCAGTGACGCTAATCTTTCTGGAAAAAGTTTCTTAATGCAAAGAGACAGTCCAGTTCGACAGATCGCTGCCACCCAAACCACTTCGGTAAGTCTCTCTCTCTCTCTCTCTCTCTCTCTCTCTCTCTCTCTCTCTCTCTCTCTCTCTCTCTCTCTCTCTCTCTCTCTCTCTCTCTCTCTCTCTCTCTCTCTCTCTCTCTCTCTCTCTCTCTCTCTCTCTCTCTCTCTCTCTCTCTCTCTCTCTCTCTCTCTCTCTCTCTCTCTCTCTCTCTCTCTCTCTCTCTCTCTCTCTCTCTGTCTCTCTCTCTCTCTCTCTCTCTCTCTCTCTCTCTCTCTCTCTCTCTCTCTCTCTCTCTCTCTCTCTCTCTCTCTCTCTCTCTCTCTCTCTCTCTCTCTCTCTCTCTCTCTCTCTCTCTCTCTCTCTCTCTCTCTCTCTCTCTCTCTCTCTCTGTCTCTCTCTCTCTCTCTCTCTCTCTCTCTCTCTCTCTCTCTCTCTCTCTCTCTCTCTCTCTCTCTCTCTCTCTCTCTCTCTCTCTCTCTCTCTCTCTCTCTCTCTCTCTCTCTCTCTCTCTCTCTCTCTCTCTCTCTCTCTCTCTCTCTCTCTCTCTCTCTCTCTCTCTCTCTCTCTCTCTCTCTCTCTCTCTCTCTCTCTCTCTTTCCAATAATACATTTTCCTCGAATCACAATGTAGGATCATTTTATTCAATTTGCAACCGATTGTCAAATTAAGGTACCGCGACAATTGACCCCCGACAATTGACCCCCCGACAATTGACCCCCCGACAATTGACCCCCTATGTAATTACACTGGGGTCAACTGTCGCGAAATCTAGGGTTTAGTACGACAATTGACCCCCCGACAATTGACCCCCCGACAATTAACCCCCCGACAATTGACCCCCCGACAATTGACCCTCTATGTAATTACACTGGGGTCAATTGTCGCGAAATCTAGGGCTTAGTACGACAATTGACCCCCCGACAATTGACCCCCCGACAATTGACCCCCCGACAATTGACCCCCCGACAATTGACCCCCCGACAATTGTAATTAAACTGGGGTAAATTAATCGGGTTAGGGTTAGGGTTAGGGTCAGGGTCAGGGTCAGGGTCGGGGTCGGGGTCGGGGTCGGGGTCGGGGTCGGGGTCGGGGTCGGGGTCGGGGTCGGGGTCGGGGTCGGGGTCGGGGTCGGGGTCGGGGTCGGGGTCGGGGTCGGGGTCGGGGTCGGGGTCGGGGTCGGGGTCGGGGTCGGGGTCGGGGTCGGGGTCGGGGTCGGGGTCGGGGTCGGGGTCGGGGTCGGGGTCGGGGTCAGGGTCAGGGTCAGGGTTAATTGTATTAAATTATATTTTCGGGGGTCAATTGTCGGGGGGTCAATTGTCGGGGGGTCAATTGTCGGGGGGGTCAATTGTCGGGGGTCAATTGTCGGGGGGTTAATTGTCGGGGGGTCAATTGTCGGGGGGTCAATTGTCGGGGGGTCAATTGTCGGGGGGTCAATTGTCGGGGGGTCAATTGTCGCCCACCCCAAATTAAGTATAAGCTATTTAACAATCTGATGACTCTCAGTTGGTGATGGAGCAAGGCGTTGTTAAGAGCACTGATAATATATCAGCTAAAACCATCCAAGAAGCTGAGATAGTTTTCAGTTCCAACAGATTCTACGGACATGTCACGAGTGATCAGGACGCACAGTTTGTAGAGATTAGGGGCTATAAGTGGGGTAAGTCTTCTAAAAACAATTAATGTTTAAACCGTCACTCTCTTATCTTTGGCTATTTCATTGTTATCATCCCTTACGATGTATTCCTAATTCCTATCTAATCTCTACCAGATGAAGCGATAGTAGGCGAATACTTTACCGAAGTGCTGAAAGATGATGGAACGTGGGGAGGCGGTCCAACAATCACCATCACACCCGACGGCGAGGTGAAGGTGGAGAAGGTTCCTATGACTGATACCCTACTTAAAGACAACATTGTCAGTATAAGTGACATCACAATACCCAACAGGAAAACCTTACAGAAATGTCTGGTCGCTATTCAAGACAAACTTCTGACTGGTTGGATTCAGGAATCTGAGGATTCTCCTAAAATCCAGATAAGGGGCTCCTTGTGGAGTGAGTTTTATTCATTATTTTATTTCATTGCTTGAGTGAGTGAATTAACTTTTCAGGAAATGTTGTGCCTTTTGTTGATTCCAACTTGGAGAATGCGGCCCTGAATTGTTGTTAACTAAATTGTTAACAAAGTTTCACTCCAGAAGAGGGACCGGGAGCTCATGGTACATATATATGCACCGAGAAGATTGGAGACAAGTGGGTCAGTTCGAACAAGTCCGTTATAGTAACCCCTTCAAATAAGGTGTGTATTTGCGACAACTTTTCGATAGAAACAAACGACAGTAATTTGGCCTTGCTATTGTTATGGCAATCTTTTACATAAATTGGCTACCACTATTTTTGCGTACATTATGATAAAGCTCCTTCATAATCAGTTGAAGAATAAGGTCAGATGATCTTCGGAAATATCTAAACATAAATAATATCGCTTCAATCGTATGGTTCGAGAGCTCTTACAATCATCGTTACTCGTTTTAGAACTTGATTAGCAATTTTCATTTACAAAATGATTCAAATACTAAGTACTAGCGCAAAATAATATCTACATACCGAGATAAATGTTTCCGAGAATCACAAACCGTGAGTGCCATCAACCGTTTTGCATTGGGTAGAATTGAGTTTCTGAAATTACAAGAAATTTTCTCGCCTTGCTTCTCATAAAATTGTAATTAGATATTTATAGGATAAACTATAAAGGCTAGACAAGTGTATTTTTGTTTAAAGCTCAGACCTGACAGTAGAATACCAGGTGAGAATCTCAGAAATGAGTCTCGAGGGTGACATGGATGGTTTGTCTGCTGGATTGGAACCAGCCCTCAGCGCTAGCACTGATGATATAGATATTGATACATCCGCAAAACTCCGCTTTGAAGGAGACACTTTTTCTGGCTTCATAACCAGCAAGGAAGCAGTTACAGAGATTGCTGGTTTCAAATTCGGTGAGATTCTATTAAATTGTGCTTCACCTCGTGTTCCATTTCCAGGATCTCCTTTTTATTTTCGCTAGGGTTCCACCCTCTTGTTTGATTCCAGATACTCTTGGTCTAATTAATAAACTAATCAGTAGATAAAAAACCTTATTAATCAGACACAGTTCCTGGAGTATACCTACTGGAGAGTAGGAGTCTGAACGCTGATGAGGACTGGACCGGACTCAGTCTTCAGCTTGTTGTCTCTGATAACGGTCGCATCTCTATATCCGGTCAGTTATACCCTATTTTTCATATCACTTTCTTTATTTTTCCTTCAACTCTATCACATCTTCCCGTTTTAAATCTTCACCTTAGAATTAGAGAAGATTTCGAAGATTTCAAGATTCTCTTGTAACGTTTTTGAAATATCAGGTAACGCAGTTTACAACATTGGAGTAAAGGAAGGAACGTTACAATTTGACAGTGATTCTATTCTAAAACAACTGAGTAAACTACAGTTCGCCGACAAGTCTGTTTTTTCTGAGGGTCTACAACTAGGAAAAGATGGTAACACTCGAGAGGTCGGTATTTTTACATAATCAGGTGAACAATGATGCTGTGTTTTAGAGGTATCATAGCCGATACATTCTTTTACTTTCCCTTCATTTATTTGAGTTTTAAACGGTTTTAATGTTCTACAATAGGTGGAAGTAAGAGGATCCACGTGGTATCCCAAGATAGCTGGTACCTACGAGACTGAACTGTTCACTGACAGCGGATGGAAGAGCAGCAAGAAACTAGAGATAACTCCGCAGGTTACTTGTAGTTGTATACTTTTGGCGGTTGTAGTCGTACGTACTTTGTCTGCTATTTACTTAGTAAAGTTTGTCAGGCTCAATCATTTATATTCTCACTGTTATTGTAGAACATTTCAATCTGTTTAACATCAGGGCGAAGTTCTGTTTGGAAATGAGCCTGCAGAAAATATTCGATTGGATTCTGATACAGTAACATTCGGTTCAGTGGACGGGCAGCTGCAAGATGTAAGTAGAAATATCGTTTTTACTGAATAAATCCTCCGAGTGAGAAACTGCTGCGACTTATTTTAAGTTAATACGTATGTTATTGTTCATCATATAATCTATATTATCATATAATCTATATTATATACAACAGCAACCCACTAATATTACCAACCAGCACTCTCAGGTGACTCTTGCGTTCGACACAGATGGGTTTAGTGGGAACGTTGTAACCATGAAGGACCGAAAGAATCGTGTTATGCGAGGCAAGAGGGTCGGTACCAGACCTGTTTCTGCGAACAGCGCTACAGAACTGTCGCTTGGTAAGTGATAGACTGATAGACTGATCAACAACTTATTCTTCAGATATTGATCATGATCATTGATTATGATAGATTTCACTAGTTGGCTTGGAAACAAGTCCTTCTACACAGTTTTACTTGGCATTGTTTCTCAAATTAGGGTAAATTCGAACTAATGCAAATTATTTCGGAATATTCAGGAACCGACGAAGAAGATGGATTTAATGATCTGAACGGTCAGATAGGTTCTACTTTACCGAGAAACTCAGCTGGTAAGCCGAGTGCGGATGAGGCCCGACCAGACCCAACTGGACCAGGGGTTACCAGTGACTACGGAAGTGCTAGTGACGTCATCACTCAGCAACTCTCTGGGTCCAGAACTGAGGCTCTCAGTTCCCTCGAAGAGGATATCAGTATGAGGAGTAAATCTCCTGAATCCTTAAACAAGAACGAGGAGATTAAAAATCAAGGAAGGCGATCTGCTGAGAAGTTTAACTCTGAAAATAATCGCAAGGCTATGTCACCAATAGATTCCCCAAGGGATGGTTATCGGTCTTCATCCGGAAAAGCACTCAAAGGCTCGCCAACAAAAAGTGAGAGTAGTCCTCGCTCCTCAAAAAGCAAATCGTCTAGAGGGTCTCCAAGAAATAGAGCTAGTGATTCTCAGGAGAACATTGCTCTGGGGGATATCTCTCTTGATCTTGATGGTGGGGATGGTGATGAAGGAGGAGTATCATTCGAATCGTGGCCTCCTGCAACTGAAGATCAGGGAAAAGCAGATTTGAATTTCGAGCTTGACTCCGGAGGTTGGTTCCTTGTAAAGATTTAGTCTTTGAAACTTTAAAATTAATCACGAATTTTTGAGTTCCGATAGTCAGAACAAAGTTGATAACTAATATGGCATATTCATTATTCATAATTGGCTATTTCCATGTTTAGGTCGAAATCAAAAACCGTATTTTTCCACTGAAATTCACGATTTGTTCAAAAATATTTTATAAGTGTATGAAAATATTCTGTTTCAGTTACGCTTGATATTCTTCCTAAAGGCTTGGACTCCCTTGGTGCATCAGAAACCAAGGAATCTATCGAGGTAGTATCTCCTAAAGAATCGCCCACCTCATTACCCAAAGCACCTATTAAATCCAAAATTATAGCACCTAAAGCTTTAGCCAAAGCAGGTAGAGAAACAGTTGCCCAAGCTCAGGTAGCCGAGGCCGAAGTAATCGCAGCATCCAGATCTCCAGCTAGGGTAACTGAGGCCGAAGCAATTGCAGCACCCAGCTCCAAAGCTTCTGATAATCAATCAGATCGGTCTGAAGCGTCAGGTGACAATTCAGCCGATCCAGAGATAGCAGCACTCAATAGTACCAGTCCCACTACCACACTTAGTCCCACAAGTGGGGAAGCAAGCCCTGAAGCATCTGACGATAGCGTGAGTTATTTGAACAATTATTTCATTCATTTAACTTAATATAACGATTACATATCTTATCATTTACCACATTCATTTAACCCCGTCTATAGCGTTAGGTATATTGGGTTAATAGCCGTTGCAATTTACATTACGTATGTTACTACACAATTCTACAAATGGCATCTCCCTTAATAAATAGGAGAGCATTCTACTTCTAGCTTTACAACTGAAACTCTGAGAACGGCATGCTAGTCTTTCAGCAAAATGCACCGAAATATCTGCAGAATGCCTCGTTAAATCGCCTCATAATTTGTTCGTCAGGCTATGTTAAAGGGGACTCCAAAACTACCAGACATCGGAGGATCTATTCCTTCTGACTCGCAATCTCTCGATCTGAGCAGCTCTAGCCCAGGTATTACAACATAATATAGTTCCACAATATAAAATGGTTAATATACTTGATTGATTTTGAACAGGAAATGTGATCATGATAATATGAGGGAGTTATCTCGTTACGTAGATATACGATTATAAGAATGTCCTAGATAAAGTCAGTTTCTGAGACTGCTGGATATTACACGTTCCAATTCTAATTGCATTCACTAGATATACCCATCGATCACAGAGGCTAGCTTTTTTTGGCAACACTATAATTTCTATAGTCAAGTAAGCTGCAAACACCGACAAGAACGTACAATTATAATAATACGACAAATGAGACATTTAATTAACATTTATATTCGTCAGGGAAGCAGACAAGGTCACCAGATAAATCACCCCGATCATTTGATTCCCCGGCCCTCACTAAACCTGTTAAATTACCCGTGAGTCAAGATCTGTACATTAAATGAACAAAGCTCACTGGACGTTTGTTCATGTTCGCTCCAGCATGACAACTGCTCATTAATCTTCAGCATGTTTTAGATGAAACTGCTGTTACACTTCATTTTTTATCAATTTATACTTGTCGATATAGCAGGTCCTCTTAGCGAATGTGTTTCATTTAACCAGGGTATCGACATGAAGGCGAAAGGTGCTGCCGCTGAAATCACCGAGGATGCTGGTCTTCTTAAGAACTACATCGAACCTAAAGGGAAAAAGGGAGAGAAAAAGAAAAGGGCGAGAAAACCTAAGAAAACAAAAGCAAAGAACGAGCTCAGACCTGACCTAAACAAAGAGGCGAAGAAGGTAGAGGATGACAAGACGAAGGATGGAGTTGAGTCTGGTTCACCACCGGATATAAACGAGAGAGCAAGGCAGGGTATAGGTCAGGCACAATCCAGGAGGACGCCAACTGCTCGAACTCCTGTGCACATGTCCAAGTTAGTTTACTGTTTAGACGCTTTTTATAATTCAGACTTCAGAGTAATGCTTACTTTAGGACTTAAATTATTGTTTTATTGTAGAGTAAAACTTAAATGATGACATCTGTCCATAATCCTGACCACACTGACCAGTTACAATATCACCCAATCTTCATCTCACGATTTGTCGCAGGATAGATCGAGATAGTTCGCGAGACTCGACTCCCATCTCCTCGGGGTACACTACTCCCAACAGTGGTCCCATTACACCCAGCAACTCTCTTCCTCAGAGAGAGTTTCAGGGGGCTCTTATGGCTGCTAAGAAGATAAGGGAGACAAGTGATGAGCAATTGGATGGGGTTAGTTACCTTCATAATCAGTGGGTGGAATGATTATTGGTTTTTACATAGTCTACCGTGAACCCTACAAAGTAAACAGCTTATTCTTGGTTTTTTTTAAACAGCACAATTTCAGAAAATACCATCTGACATCAGAGAACATCCAGTGGCTGAGGAGGTCGCGGAAAAATTCGGTGAGTCAGCCCGCTGATAATGTAATATTTTAATGTGTTTATTGTATGTAGATTGTAGGGTTAGTTTCATGGAAGCGATCATCGGTTTATTTATTAAATGCAACAGTTCTGGTAATCATAATTCCGATTAAATACCAATCATTGCTCAGAGTTGTCGAAGTTTCCTTGGATATTTTTTAGGCATCAATCACGAATAGAAGCAAAATTTTGGGTCCCTGATTGTTTTATTTGTGAGCAACAATATTCCCACCAAATCTTGCTAATCACACGTTTCCCACATAAAACACTTTTTCTAGTCAAGATTTCCAAATTGCTCATTAATTTAGTCACTGTAAATGTAATTAATTAGTGATGACAATTTTTCTGTACTGTTTTTGTTGCTGTTGTTTTTCAGTCCTGTAACACTTCAAAATACCAAGTCTGTAATTGAAATATTTTATAACATGCAGCATTACACAATAAGCCTAACATATAGTTTAAACAATAAGAAAAGATACAACCACTACTCAGATGCTTACTATTTAGCTCTGTCAGTATTCGGTATCATGGTACAAAGTGGTGAGAGGAAGTAGTGTTCCTTCTTCTTCTTCTTCGTAGGGGGCTGTGGTCATTATCACTAATGGAAAGATCGTGACCACTGTAAGATAGAGCATTGGAGCCCTGTGCTTACTACCCCGGTAAAATTAATAAGTCGAGGAAAAAAATTAAATTTTGTTTTCTTTGCATTTAGTAAATCGTTTTGTTGCTTATATGAAGCCGATGATCCTTGGTAGTGAGAACTTGTCCACTATTTCTGTCACACTAAGATAGAAGGAGTCAAATCCTCCTCGTTGGTAAGACCATTTCGGGCACTGACCAATAAAGTGGTTCATTGTCTCCTCTTCCATGAGACAGTGTGGACAAATTTTGGGGACCGTTGTCGGCTTGGACTTATTAATGTGGTAGTTTAGTTCACAATGCCCAATAAGGAATTGTGTCGCTGTTCTTGTGCTCTCTTTGCCAAGTTTCGGGATTGATCTGGCGAACTTATGTCTCCATACTCGTTTGAAGTGAGTGTTGGGCAACGTTCTTCATCTTTCCTCATTTTCCGATGACTTATACTCCGCAGTGCTCCCTTCCAGGGTGTTCATTATATCCACTTCATTATATCCACTAGCGTGTTAAAAGGAGTTCCCAAAACTTTTCTCGGATCTGTTGCTAACATTAACATTTAACATTCTTATTGATCATCAAGTTATCGTTCATATAACTTAGTTAATCATTGTGGAGATACTGAAATTATCAAGCTTAATAGCCACCTGTGATCGATAATGTTGAGCTCCCTACATCGTTTTATACACTGATTTTAGTTTAAATTCACCTACAAAATAGACTGTACGATATGCACAAAAACTCGTTCGGTTTTTCAACAGTGTAATTTATACTTCATCGTAAAAGCGTGTTGAACTATATAATAAACCCTCATCGGTTTGATTTCACACATATTCCGGCTAAATTTTAGTTTCCTCTCAATTAATCCTGCCTCAGTGACATATAATCCTGCTGTTAATGAACCATTATTTATTAGCACCTTCATATGCGATTACCGCCTCCCCGACCTGAAACTCCCAGGATCCAACCTTGAGTATGGCCGGTAACTCACTATAGCATAACACCGAGCAATAATCAATGTGACTTGTTGCTGGTAGCATAAAGTCAGCAAACTTGATAAGGATTGATAAGCTCCCCTGCCATCGAAATATAATCAGGGTATTGGAAAACTATTGACGATGTTAGTCAAAGTGTTTCTAGTTCATCGAATCTCAACAAGTGCATTGGTTTTGATAAGAGCGTGACTGTGAGTTGGACGATGTTTTCTATTCGCTCAATATAAAGCGTCCGTTCATTCGTTTAAATTACTGTTTATTGTTAGATGATTATTCGGAGACTTTCTGTGCAGTCGAATGCTGGGTTTCTCCAAATTTCAAAAGTGCCAGGTTCCGGTACGGGTAAGATAAAGTTTTGGGGGGAGTTTTAGTAATCAGTTATACATTTATCTTTGAAAAATTGATGTGTTAAATTTATCTTTGGAACGTTTAGTAATCATAACGATTTCACTAATCATGTGGCTCACAATGTGTAGATATTTGTTAGTTTATCATCTAGACTTTTCACCATATTCTCTTCAGGAATGGAGATGCAAGTGAGGGATGACGGATCTAGCAAGCTATCTGTGAAAGAGAGGAGAGAACTTGCTCGACAGAGGAAAAAAGAAGAAGCAGAGCGAAAGAGGAGAGATCGTGATGACGAAAAGAGGTTAATATTCAGTTTTAACTTTTCATAGATTGATGACATTCCAGAAGATGATGTTGGATATACACTTAGCCTGTTGCATAAAGATTTGTAACCATCCTCATAACATTTAAGATTTGGGAAAATCTTGATAAATTTTACATTTATTGATTCTATACTCTATAGTCTATCCAATGACTTTTCTATTTTCAACAAGTTTGGAGCTTTCGAAATATTGTCTTTTGTAGCAATGAAAGTTCAGCCTTATAGGTCGATTTTACTTATGAACCGCATGTTTGGTATGTTTTTATTTGTACGTTATACTTTCAACAAGTGCTCCCAGGCGACATAAGGAGGAAGAAGAAAGGAAGCTTCGAGAAGAAGAAGAGATGAAACTGAAAAGGGCGGAGCGTGATGCTGAGTTAGCTGCAGAACGCCAAAGGGAGCTGGGAAGACGAAAAGAGGAGGAAGCGAAGAGAAGACAGGCTAAGCTGGATGAGAAAGACAGGAGGAGGCGAGATGAAGACAAGTAAAACATTTTTCATTTCTCTCTGATTAAGCTTCTGTCCCACTTTCATGTCATATTCCAAAACTTAAATTATTGACAGAAACACTGCTTTGTCACCCCCGTGAAACTGCTTTTATTTAAGTGACTTGAATACAAATTTAAAACAGGATGTTGGATGCTAAACGTAAGCTTGAAGAGGAACTGAAACGGCGGCGTGCTGCTGAAGCTGCCAGGTTGGAAGAGATAGAAAGACAAAAAGAGCTCTTACTTGAGCGTGAGAAAGAGGAACAGCAGAAGTAAGTTATTTTTGGTATAATTATTTAATTTATGTTAATCTTGCTAAACTGGCTAATCTGGCGTGCTACTAAGACTAGTCTCAGAAACATTTTAAGGAACGTTTTATTTCTTTTCGATACAAAAGTTAGCTCTGGTTTACTCATTTTTAACTGTTATACCCCGTTGCAGTCAGTGAAAACATTTAATGATTATATTAGGGTTACTAAAAGGATTAAAATAAAACACAATAAGAAAGTTTTGTATACAATGTACTATTGTCACAGTAACCGTTACTAAAGAACCCAGTAGTTACAATATATTCCTCTAGGAGAAAGGAGGAGGCAGAAGCTATTCGGGCACAAATGGAAGAGGAGATGGCTCGAGAAATGGCAGAGTATGAACGAAAGGTATAAAGTTGTTCAGTTGATATTATCAATCATGTGTTAGGAATTTTCCCGATTTTTTTTCGTTGGACATGTGGGTGATTTGTATAGTAAATTTAAATATTAAGGTTGTTTTTATAGACATATGACAGAGTGACGTTCTATTCTCAGGTGCGAGAGGAGCAGGAAAGAAGGAGAATAGAGGATGCTCTAAAAGCAGAGGCTGAAAGGCGGCTCTTAGACGAAGAAGAGAGGAAGCGAATTATAGCCCTTGCACGGCATCTTTGGAACAAGGGCGTCAGAATTGAGGGAGAAAATCTTGAGGAGGAACTTCAAATCAGCTCTATTTTCTACTCATACTTTAACTATTTGCAAAGCGAGGAACCGTTTAATCCTGACGTTGACATTCCGTATAAAGAGAAAGTTTTGAGGATAGAAAACGCTCTCAAAAGTACTAGACCTTTAGACAAGATTTGAGTTGCTAGAAGACGGAGGTTATTACGGATATCATATCGTCCTTCGCTAATCGTGCCATTATGAGTGGGAGAGAGTTAATGTTGTGAAAGAATAATTTATTGGTTAAGGGATTGTTACTGTTAGTTCCAGGGATGGATTGAAAGAACCGATTGTAAATACGATTTAAGCGATGGGTCGTACCAACTGTGTATGATATTGAAAACTGACGAACTTTTTTGGAATTTTGAGATTGTTTATTCATTATTGCCACAGGAAAAGCCTTGTTGGGGATGCGCGCCTTGCGTGATATAGTAATAAATTGATTGATCTGTAAATATCTGAAGATTTGTGCATTATATAAATTCGATTCAGTGCTAAATTATAATTCTTTGTAGAAATAATGAAGAATTTATTTTCTCGTGAAATAATCGAATAACCCAAAAAATTGATTCCAAATTTAATGCTCGTGTCCATAAACACATAACAGCTACAGCTACAGATATATGGCGGAGTGACAGGCTCAAGGCTTAGCCATTAGCGTTACCTTACTAGTAGGCAGTGCGCCATCGACCGTAAGACGCGCGCGCTGACCATTGAATGGTTTTTTAGCTCGTATTTCGGCCGGCTCTTACTAAATAGCTCGCCCAAAATTTTCACGTGACTTTGGTTTTTTTGGTTTTGCAGCCGTACAAAACGGTTTTACATAAACCCTAATCCCAACCCTAACCCTAACCATAACCCCGAAGCTATCCATAATCTTAACCACAACCCTAACCCTAACCCAAGCCCTAAATAATCGAATTCACGTTTTACCATTCACTAGCCTGTCACGTGACCAAAACGGTTTTTTGCCCATAACTCTCCAGGGAAACATTTTAACCCTACGTCATGGGGGGTGATTCGGAATCAGCGTCCAAAAATACACCGATCTAGATGACTTTCATGCCTAAAGGGCCTTTTCACAAGAATTTTCTTAAAATTTGGGCGAGCGATTTAGTAGGAGCGATTTCGGCCAGCACATTATTTCGGAAACAATCAAAAAGTTATAATACTTCCCATTTAACAATTTAGTTGAAATTTGGTCAGCTTACGTAAACACCTATGTTCTACTAAACCTAAATTAGTTTGAGCAATTTCGATGGTCAGAATTTGAGTTATCAACGAATTTATACCTATTTTGTCATTTTAGACTTCTTAATCAAAGCCAATCTCTCCCAACTAAATTAGGTTCGGTAAATAAGTATGAATGGAAGGTTCTGACAAATTTTCAGCATTATTCATGTTCAGGAACCGAAGATATGATAGAATAATACGACAAAAATCAACGAATTTCGTCAAATTACGCGACTTTTACACCTTATTTTCCTCCAAAAGCCGCGCACCATCAAGTATGGTACTTAGTCGAAACTCACTCATCAATCCAAAAAGTTATAAAAAATTTGGTACTGTGAAAATTCTCAAGGTTTCTAGAAAACAATGGTACAAAAATTTTGAAAATCCGAGCAAGTTTATTTTTATCGTGCACCCCCTATTACTAGCTTGCTAATCTATTGCTCCCTCTTCTCGCTCAAGCTTCCTGTTCCTAGACATATTTCATGTACGCGTATCAAATTGGATGTGTTTTTGGCGGAGATATAACGTGCGCTTGTAGCGCGATGCGTTACTGCGCCGCGCACTTAATCATCAATGAGGCTTCTCACAGCTTGATTCACGATGTCAATCCTTCGCAGCTCGGTGAGGCACAGTGGTGCATCTCGCCGCGATCTACCGAAGGTGCTTGCGAGAAGCATTATTTGATGCGCGCGCGACCCAGTAGTGCATCGCGCTACAATCTCACAGCTAGATCGGCGAAATGCGCTACTGTGCCGCGCCGAGCTGCGATGAATTGACATCGTCAATTAAAACGTGCGCCTACAGCGGATTGGCGCGGGCGTGCCAAGACGCCAGGTAATCATCGCAAATCGGCGAGATGCATTGCAAGATGTAAAGTTACTCAAATCAGAGGTACCCTCAAAGTTAACGGGTGATAGTCGTAAAATTTTTGTTCCAAATATTAGTCCGTGAGCGCGTGTTTGGTGTTCCAAATATATAACTATGAGACCGTCGACTAGTCCAACTTGGCGCGCGTCTTTACTAGGCTTACTTGGTCAGCCTTGGTATATAATAAACCTACAATGTACAAATCTCAAATAACCCTACAAGGGGCCTACAACCCTCATATTAAAGCATAAAGGTAATCATCTATTTTGTATTTATAGATCATACCGGGGAGTGGAGACTATATTGTATATAGACTTGATCGATGTATATTGTCATGTACATATATATACTATACAGACTTGATCGATGTACTACATATAATGTAATTGTAATTGCATGAGATAAAATGAATGAGATAAAATAATACCAGCTAATATACCGTGCTATACGTCGATCAAATCGATCACGTATTAACATGATCGACGTACATGCATGCATGCAATCTAATCATGCAGCAGCGCAATGCACATCACACAAAATGACTCCGCGCTTGACGTCAAATACTGTCTTTCCCCAAAGTTTTTATGTTATCCAGAGTATTATATTTCTCGGTTTTTGTGGCACGGCCCTACCTTGTAATTTGCCTATTATCGAGCTACTATCAGTACTATTAAGTATTAACTTATTCTGACTACTGCAACTACTAATCATTATATTCCGAACACGTACACTGAACCACTCTAAAACGTCCAGATATATAGATGGAGCAAGCGTGGTACAAATGGGAGCAAGCTGCGCCACTACTTTAGTAAAACCCTAAACTTTCTTAGCATGGTTTACTTTACGATCTTAAATTATCAATTAACCTTCGTATCAACGACTGTAACTATGATATAGTCAGCTTCAGTACCTAAAAGAAAAAAATGTTACGAGGTAGAGATGGTGCAGTGAAAACATGAAATGTTCGACGAAACAGTTAATTTCTGGATTCTTCTTAGTTACACTCTCCTCACAATATACAAATTATAGACCAATATATGAATTTATGTCAAGTTATATCGGAAAGAATTTAAAATACATATTACATAATATAAAAAATTACCGGTTCTTAAATTATTTATTGGGCTCATTTTATAAATTCAATTAAATTCGCTCAATCTAAATTTCACAAGTCAATTCAAATAAGGACTATCGGTCATAATTAAATTGAAAGCATTGGAATAATAAATGGTCAGGTATTTTAAAAAGTAGTAAATTTCCACAAGATTAATCAGGATGAAATTAGTTTTTAGTAGTTTGGACATTTTGTTTTGCTTCCCTCACTTCCCTCGCACAATAATGTTCACTATTTAAGGTACAACAGACGAGTGTTCTTCGTATACGCTATCATATCTATAATGTTATCCCAGGAATTGACGACAGCACCACCAGCACAGAGTAGAGAACTCTCAACTCACTAACACGTGCGTCGCGCAGGTGGTATGTCTCACTAACAAGTGCGTCGCGCAGGTGGTATGTCTCACTAACAAGTGCGTCGCGCAGGTGGTATGTTGTAGATTGTAGAACTCATTGCCAGATACTTCGCCAGAAGACGTTTCCCTGAATTTTGTAGTGGATTTTGTAGTGGATTTCGCGCGCCGCACGTACGTTACAATATTTATCATTGTAGAATCTACGACGGTAGAAGTCAGAAGTCTCAATAAACTGCTCGTACTTATACTTTTATAGACACTTATAAGATATGAAAATCTAAGTAACACATCCAACCCCACTCAGGCCGCCCATCCCAAATAGCTTGAAATCTGTGACAAATCCCTAAAAATCCAGAATGAGAATCTTTACCCCTGGGCCCTGAAGGGGATTTGTGTTGCTGAGTATTTGAAACATGTTTTGGTGGTTAAATATGTAGTACATATCCCAAACCATCACAAAGACCAAGTTTTAAGCTCTTGAACCACTCAAGCCACTCCCAGAGGCAATGCCAATCCCAAAATTACTGAAATCCAGCTAAAATCCAGACTTTAAAATCTTTACCCCTGTAGTGCTTTTATGTTTCGGGGTAGGTGGGACATGTTTTAGTTTAAAAATGGGTTCTACCTGTCCCAAACCATCATAAAAATCAAGTTTGCCCTCTAAAACCCCATGGGCCCCCCCAAGGGGGGCCCACCCCCACCCCAAAAATGCCCGAAATCGCTAAAACCCGCTTTAAATTTTATGTAGTGTTTTAGTTGGGGTAGGTGGGAATGTTTTATTTTAAAAATGGGTTTGTGCCCCAAAAACCATCAAAAGGGCCAATTTTTAAGTTTTGAACCCATCACCCACTCCCGAGGAATCCCAACCCCAAAATTATGAAACCCAGCAAAATCCAGATTTTAAAAAATCTTTCCCCCTTTTTTAGTTTTTTTATGTTGGGGTGGGGAATGTTTTATTTTTAAAAAAAGGGGTTTTCCCCTTCCAAACCCATATAAAAAAATCAAGTTTGCCCTTAAAACCCCTGGGGGCCATCGGGGGCCCGCCACCCCAAATGACGAAAAGCAAAAATCCGGATTTAAAATCTTTACCTGTGTGTTTTATTTTCCCGGGTAGGGGGAATGTTTTAGTTTAAAAATGGGTTTTTTGCTGCCCCAAAATATAAAAATCGTTTGACTTAAACATGGGGGATCCCGGGGCCCCACGCCCACCCCAAAAATGCCGAAATCCAGAAAAAATTCCGGGCTTTAAATTTTTCCCCGAGTGTTTTTGTTGGGGTGGGTGGGAAGTTTTATTTAAAAAAAAAAAGGGTTCTGCTGCCCCCAAAACCATATAAAAAAAAGTTTCAAATTAACCCCCATCGGGCACTCCCGGGGGCCACCCCCACCCCAAAGCCCAAAAATCCGTTTAAAATCAGTTTTTAAATCTTTCCCCCTGTAGTGTTTTATTTTTCCCGGGGTAGGTGGGCATGTTTTTTTTTTAAAAAGGGTTTGCCTGCCCCAAAAACCATCATAAAAATCAAGTTTGCCCTTAAACCCCATGGGCCCACCCCCGGGGGCCCCAAAGTCCAAAAATGCCAAAAATCCAGAAAAAATCAGATTTAAAAATCTTTCCCCGTAGGCTTTTTGTTCGGGGAGGGGGGAATGTTTTATTTTAAAAAAATGGGTTCTGCCTTCCCAAACCTAAAAAAAATTTTTGTTCTTCCCCCATCCCACTCCAGAGGCAAGAATCCAAAAAAATTACGATCCAGAAAAACCCGTTTTTAAAAATCTTTCCCCTGTAGGCTTTTTTTGTTGGGGTAGGTGGACTTTGTTTTATTTTTAAAAGGGGTTTTGCCTGTCCCAACCCATAAAAAAAACAAGTTTCGCCCTTAAACCCCCATGGGGCCCACCCCCAGGGGCACCCCATCCCAAAAGACGAAATAGCCAAAAAATCGATTTAAAATCTTTACCCGTAGT